CCAAGTAGGCGTGACCACCTCAATACTCTAATATCTCTACTCGAGCTTGCTAGCCGGCCATTTTGCCTGCTTTGTGCTGGGCGGGGCTGCTGCTCCAAGCGGCAGCAGCCTAATGGACCTGCGCGTGCCCACAGAGAGGGCTCTGAGTGCCGCCTCTGGCACGCGTGCCATAGGTTCGCCACCATTGGTCTATTATATACACTGTCAGTTTTGCCATAGCAGGATATTCACCAATTTTGGTCTCTCAGTCTTGTATCTTCAACAGAATTTCACTTTTCTAACATTTTGCCAGATTGATTCTTCCACTGTCAGCGATGAGCGTATTTAATACTCCTTCCTCCTCCTATTTTCCCCAGAACAACAGCTCTGTGAGGTGGGCTGTACTGAACGAGAGTGACTGACTCAAACTCACCCAGCTGGCTTTCATGCCTAAAGTGGGAGTAGAGCTCACAATCTCCTGGTTTCTAGCCTGGTGCCTTAACCATTCAGGGGTAGGCAACTTTGGCTCTTTTATGACTTGTGGACTTCAACTCCCAGAATTCCTGGCTCAGGAATTCTGAGAGTTGAAGTCCACGAGTCATAAAAGAGCCAAGTTTGCCTACCCCTGCACTAAATCAAACTGTCTCTGAAGCTGTGATACTTTGCATTTATACCTTCTAGAATTATTCTCAATATTTGTGGTTTCAGTTCAAATTTTATTTTTAAGATTTTATGAATTGTGTGATGTATTTCCTTCTAATAGATATATTTATTTATTAAATTCATACGGCCATCCATCTCGCAAGAAGTGACTCTGGGGAGTGTATAACAAAAAGTAAAACATATCAAAAACAATCATATTGAAATAAAAACATACAAGAGATTAGATTAGCAAGGAAGCCACCTCAAGACCTCCAGGCCAGGTCTTGAGGGACTTCTGGAAAATAAGTAGGAATGGAGAAGATAACACTTCAGGAGGGAGAATATTCCATAAGGCAGTTACCATGCCAGAGAAGGTCTACCTCCTTGGGCCCACTGTGTACTTACCTCACACATGGGACCTGCAGTATGCCTCATGGCAAATATGATGGGATGAGCAGATGTAGTTGGGATAGGGTGGGCCCTCAAATAACCTGGTCATGAAGAATTTTAAAACCAGCAGCACCTTGAGTTGGACTCAGAAGCAAACTGGCAACCAATGCAGTTCTTGGTATGGAGCTGTAATATATTCTATTCTAGAACCACTCGTAACTGCCCATGCTGCTGCACTTTGTATCAGGTGAAGCTTCTGGATATTCTTCAAGGGCACCCCATATTGAGCGCATTACAGTAATCCAATCAGGTGGTGACTAGGGCATGAGTAGAATTAATATACCTTGTGGAGTTAGAGATATTAATATTTGTTTACTTATATTTGAATATTATCTTGGGATCTGGTTTGGGAAGTCCGAGAGATGGGTGGGAGGGGGAGGGGTTTTTTTCTAATATAGCATTGTGGAATATTTGTGATGTTTTTTTTATGATGAAAATAATAAAAATTTTATTAAAAAAAAACTAAAAAAAAAAAACTAGGGCATGAGTGTGACTTTTTTTTTGCATGACTGCATGTGATAAAATGTTCCTTTTTATTGGGGTATTTTCAACATCTGTTGGTATAGGATTTGTCCATCTTGGTAATAATTGGATTAATCACTGTCTACTAAGATGGAACAGAATGAACAGAGAAGGAACAAATTAAAACCACTGTCTTCTAAGGACATTAAAGGTAGGAATGTCTAAGTGTGGCTACTCCAAGCCTGCCTGGGTTTACAGAAGTTGGTTTACAAACATTAAAGGTGAGAAGCAAATGATATGCTAAGCAGAAACCAAGCAAAGTACATTATGGCTTAAGATGATGTATAAATCCAATTAGTATGCAATTTGTTTTTTGCTGTTGTAGATTTGCTTTTCTTATAACTATAGTTATTACATTAAATTAGATGCATTACACCAGTGATGGCGAACCTTTTAGTGACCGAGTGCCCAAACTGCAACCCCAAACCCACTTATGCATCGTCGGGTGCCGGGTGGGTGTGGCCCATTGGGTGGGTGTGGCCCATTGGGTGGGCGTGGCTGCGGTGGTATCGGCAGATTGGGTGGGACTAAAAAGTTCAGTCAATCAATTCCAACTTTGCTTCCCGCGAGAAGTTGAAATTGACTGATTGATTGAACCTTTTTTTTTCACATGGCGGTGGAGGCCTAAAGCGAAAAGGTTTTATAAAACCCAGCTGAAGGCCTAGCGCTGGAGCAACGGCACGCGTGCCCACAGAGAGGGCTGTGAGTGCCGCCTCTGGCACCCATGCCATAGGTTCGCTACCACTGCATTACACTATTACTATAACAATGGGATCAATCCTAGTTAACCCACATTTATGACAGTTTTTAAATTAATTCCCAAGTATAATCAGGGCTCCTATTATGTATGTACATATATCATATTAGTGAATGTAATGCTAAAGCAAATCCAGCTGTATTTGTTTATTATTAAAACATTTAAACTGTCCAATAGATGGAGCACTCTGGATGATTTACAATAAAATGCACTTAAAAATACAATCTGAATATCAGCTTATATTATAAAATAAAACCATATATTATAGAATCAAATAAAATACAGAATTTAAAAACACCATATAAACTAGGTAGCAACATGGTAGCATTTAAATTGCTAAGAATTAATATCAAATTAAAAATCAATGAAAAGGGAATTGTGTTCATTTTCTTTATATATCTCCTCATGTTATTTGTCATCATATCTTCTTCTTTGCTTAGACTCATATAAGCTGCCTCACCCAGACCTTTTTTGCTGCTGTAGTCTGCATGATGGATGAGTCAGTCCAACTTAAAATATGGGTTAATATGAAGCAACTGCTAACGTGTTCTTGTCTGCAAAATGGGTAGTAAAGTGCATAGGGAAGTATATCCAGAGAAGCATTGTACATCTTTTAATGGAATTATACATTTCAAACACAGAGCTGGTTTTTATGCATTAGATATTGTTATTCATGACACACATGGGCTATTTCAGCAGTTTAAAAGTTGGTCTATTTTTAAATAATACATATTTCTTATCATATCAAGATATAGTTGTCTTAAGCCTTCCCGTGTGAAAGCTAGAATATAGAGGGTAACCCTTCTGAACCTGATACTATTCAGTTGTTCTGAAACTGAAACTGTAATTCCCAGCCAGCCTGAAAAGCATTAATGAAAAAAAGGAATGCATGTGAAATGGAAGAACCCAGAAAAGAATCACATTCGGAATTAAAACCCATTGAAGTCTGTCTTTCGTGTTACATGGCTGTACCGAGATGCACTTATAACAGGTTATGCTGCTGTATTCTCCATTGCTTGTAGCTTCTTTACATGCACTTCCATGTAAAGTGCATTGCAGTAATTTAAGAGGGCGAGGATTAAAATCAGTGCTTGTGAGAAGGGCCTCCCAAACCAAGAATGGGTAGCACTGTCTCATAACATAAATCTAGATGAAGATTCTTTTGGTCTTGGTTGCCACCTGTCCCTGTTCAAACCTGTCCCTACAAACTGAACGCCCTATCTGGAAATGTGTTACCCCATCCAAGTCTAAGCTGAAAGTTCCTAGGAACTTCCCTAGTGCAGCAACCACAGCCACTCAAATTTCAGGACCCCACCCACCCCGCCTCCTAACAATATGACAGGACCTTGACAGCATCATTTGCCAGTTTTGAGATTTAAGTTGTATAACTGGGTTTCATCAGCATTAGATGATACTATATTCTGTGTTGCTGAATGACTTCATGGAAATGTTGAGTGGCAAGAATCTTAGATTGCTCTTTCAAGATTGACTGGAATTGAACTACAGAGATAACAGAAGAAGCATTTCAACATCATGTCCCATCTCTTCCCCCACCCCCTCTCATAGCTGGTTCTGAAGGATACCATGTTTGAATAATAATGCAGATGAGAAATCAGTAAGGACCAGGATAGTTTCACCATCTCAATCTAGCCCTTTCAGAGGTCATCCCCAAATGTGACCAATACCATCTAAGTGGTGTAGACTATTTAGATAAATAAATAGAATATAAATGGCTCCTGTTGTATTCTTTTGCTATATAGAACTTACAGAGGTTATTTACATCTCTTTCTTGTACTCTCCTGGTTGTCTGGATTTTGTAACAGACCTTGTAATCCTATCAATATCTGTTTCTCTATTAAGTACAAATGTTGCTACATTAGATACAGATCCTTTGATTTGTTGGCATTGTTTTATAATAGTAATGTAGAGTTGTGATTTATGATGATTTCTGGCAAGGGTTTATTATATAGAAAAAATGGGAAGGAATGTCTAACTGAGCCTTAGAAATTCCTAAGGTGAAATGATACTTTATTTTTTCCTATACTGAAATGATGTTAGAAATAGAGGTCATATCTGTACATGGGGCCAAGTCCTTTCTGCAGAATTTAAATTTATCAGTCTAATCAGGTAGACCAGACAGGAAACATGACCAGATAAGCTAATTCTTCTTTATTGTATGGGTAGTCCTTGACTTAGAGGACTTAGAGTTAGAATTATAATTACAAAAATGATTTATGTCCATTTTTTACACTTTTTCACACTTATGACCATTGCAGTGTCCCAATGGCCACGTGATCAAACTTCAGATGCTTGGCAGCTGTCACATATTTATGACTGTTGCAGTGTCCTGAGATCATGTGATCCCCTTTTGCGATCTTCTGATGAGCAAAGTCAATGGGGAAGATAGATTGACTTAGCAAACGTGTTCTTAACTTAAACAACTACAATACAGTGGTTCACTTGACAACTGTGGCAAGAAAGGTAATGGGATAAAATTCACTTAACAAATGTCTCACTTAGCAACATAAATTTTGGGCTCAAATGTGGCCATAACCTGTATTTTGTAAAGCATTTTTGTTTTAAAATTTGTTCCATTTTAATATTTTTAGAAATTAAATTGTTGCTTGAACTGTGAAACTTTCTCTTTCAGATCTGCTTTCTCTTGTTTGCGATATTGTATATTGTTTCCTACTTCATTATCAGAAGATACAAGAGGAAAGCAGGTAACTGGTTTCGTATTCATTTATTTTCTATAATAATAATAATAATAATAATAATAATAATAATAATAATAATAATAATAATAATAATAAAAAAAAAAAAAAAGTTGGAAGGGATACATATCTATTTATGGAATAAGTATTGTAATATAATTGCATGTGATCTGAGAGCTTTACCAAAACAAATTACACCACATTTTCTTTTTCCCAATTTGCATTTGTTTTATTATGAGTCCTTTCAGTTTATTAACTTTTTTAAAAAAAATATTTTTCCTAAAATGTATTTGCTGAGAAATCACACTGGGGAAATGCTATTGTGTTTATATCCTGCTTACATATATCCCAGTAGAACGAGAGGTGACCTGTTTTTCTTAACTATTTCATTTATATCTTTTAACTTGCATATAATAATAATAATAATAATAATAATAATAATAATAATAATAATAATAATAATAATAATAATAATAATAATAATAATAATAATAATAAAGTTGGAAGGGACCTTGGAGGTCATCTAGTCCAATCACCTGCTCAGGCAGGAAACACTATACCATTTCGGACAAATGGCTGTCCAGTCTCTTCTTAAAAACTTCCAGTGTTGGAGCATTCATCGCTTCTGGAGGCAGGTTGTTCCACTGGTTAATTGTTCTAACTGTCAGGAAATTTCTCCTTAGTTCTAGGTTGCTTCTCTCCTTGATTAGTTTCCATCTATTGCTTCTTGTCCTGCCTTCAGGCACTTTGGAGAATAGCTTGACTCCCTCTTCTCTGTGGCAACCCCTGAGATATTGGAACACTACTGTCATGTCCCCCCTCGTCCTTCTCTTCATTAAACTAGACATACCCAATTCCAGCAGCCTTTCCTTACATGCTTTGGCCTCCAGTCCCCTAATCATCTTTGTTGCTCTTCTCTGTACTCTTTCTAGAGTCTCAACATCTTTTTTACATCGTGGTGACCAAAACTGGATGCAATATTCCAAGTGTGGCCTTACCAAGGCATTGTAAAGTGATATTAATACTTCCCGTGATCTTGATTCTATCCCTCTGTTAATGCAGCCTAGCACTGTGTTGGCTTTTTTGACAGCTGTTTCTTCATTTACTATTACCTTCTCTATTTTATGATCCCACCAGTTCTTGCTTGCAGGCAAATGATAGTTCTTTCAGACCTTCCAATGCACCATTATTGCTATTTTGTCATATTGTTGTTTGTAGTCAGTCTGGGCAGTCTTCTTGCATCACGTAACCAGGTAGTCCACTATTTCTTCAACTTCTTTGCAGAGGCGACCCTTGCTATCTATTGCTGTCTTCTCAATTATTGCTTGTTATGCGTTTGTTTCTAAAGATTGTTTTGTGCAACCAGAATTAGCCCCTCTGTCTCTTTCTGTAAGTTTCCGGCTCTTAGCCATTGCCAAATCTTGTTATAATCTGCTTTGCCTGTTATTTTTTTAATATAAATGTAGTACTTAATCTTCCCATGCCTCTTTTCTGACTTTTATTTGGTCCTTCATGTAGACCATTTTGGTCTCTCCACTATTCAGGAAACCATCCTGGTATACTAGTATCAGTGCATCTTTTTACTGTCCTTCAGATATTCTTCTAATGCCCTTTTTTCTTCTTCAACCGTCTGACTATACTTGCAACATTCCATGCCTACATATTTTCCTAGATAAGTAGAGTTTGTAAATGTTTCTCTGAGGAGACAGGACATGATTCATTGTCATTATTTTTCTACTCTTCCTATCTAGGGCTTTTAGTTCTGTTTGAGTCACTCCATTATTCCAGCTGTGTATCTAATGACTGGAATTGCCCAGGTGTTAATTGCCTTGATGGTATTTCCTCCACTGAATTGGATCTTCCTTACTCTCTTAATGTATTTACTTCTAATCTTTTTCTTGACTTCAGTGTGCTTGATGTTGTCAGCTTGAAAGGTGCTTGTGGTGATCATCTTCATCCAGATCGTGATGTTATTTCCATCTTGATTCCTTCAGTTTTCACTATTATTCCCTGTTTGATGGCGAGCATAGCTCATTAGTCCGGTCCATTGCAATATCTTGACTGTATATATGGACAGTGCTGTGCAGAGATTCTATTTCAGATGGTGTTTTTCCATACTGCTCCAGATCATCCATGTAAAGGAGGTGGGATAGCCTGGCAGATGTTTTTGATGTTTGATGGTCATAGCCTGAGTTATTCAGTATTGTTGACAGAGGGACAATGTTCCTTTATTTTTATATATATATTTATTACACTCTTATGAAGCCACATTACTAGCTATCCATGGCTACATGCTCTTCGATTCTATGTGTTATAGGTTCTCCTGCTTGAGCAGGGGGCTGGACTAGAAGACCTCCAAGGTCCCTTCCAGCTCTATTCTATTCTAGTATGAAAAGAAGGACTACTCCAACTTTCTATTTGCACATCCATTACACTTTAGCAGGCTGCTTGAGAGTCTCTTGCAGGAATAATCTTGGACTGGAGATTAAAATGGGCATAACTAAGAGATTCTTTTTAGATGCTGCAAATTTCTTTTAACTGGAAATACTTTGCATCTGATAAGAAATAAGCTCGGTTACAAAGGTAATTCTTTAGATAGCTTGATTTTTTGGTTATTTGTAACTGATTATCTTATAAATACAATATTAATATATTTTAAAGAGTAAATTAGCTTTCTCTTTCTGGTCACTAAAGGTAAGATTTTTTTTATTCTATTGAATGACTCGTTTATGAAATAATTACTGTATAGGTTAATCAGGAGAGCATCCTAATCAATGATTTATTTAGATCTGGACCCATGACCAGTCCAGAAATGTTTCTTTTGAACATTGTGAGACAGTTACATGATATAAAATAATAGTGTCCCAAAACCAGCTTATACGAAGTAACTTTAACTGATATCTTTGATTTGTTAAATGGAGAGTTTGTGTTGCAGATTCCCTGGCTGCTTGCTGTCTGTTCAAAGTAATAAAGATTTTTGTGTTATACCGCCACCTAGCTACCAAGTTACTTCCAAGTGCTTTGCTTATACTTCATGAATAGTTGCAAGAGTGTGATTGATGCCTCTAGTACAGGGGTGTCAAACTCGCAACATCACATGACGTGTTGCGAGGTATTGCGACTTTTTTTCCAATGGGGTGGGTGGGTTTTGGCATGACACATCCGGCCTGTGGGCCGGCAGTTTGACACCCTTTCTCTAGTAAAATAATAATTCATAATAGCTGATGTAATCTATAGCTACATTATATGAATAAATCAGTATATTTTAAAGAATTTAATATTAAATTCTAGTCATGAGTATCTAAATATAATTTTTCTTCTTCATTATATTAGAGGCATGCTTTGTTTTCTAAGTGTCATCATAGCATATATGTTCCCCCCCTACAGATATATGTTTGTCAAAAACAGATCATGCCAGACAAATCTTACTGCATTCTTTGACCAGGTGACAAAATTAGTGGACCAGAGGAATGCTGTGGATATAATTTACTTGGACTTTAGTAAGGCATTTGACAAAGTAGATCACAACCTACTACTTGATAAGATAGAAAAATGCGGGTTAGACAGCATCACCACCAGATGGATCCGTAGCTGGCTGACCGGCCGTACTCAGCGTGTGGTCCTCAATGGAACCGCATCTACATGGAGGGAAGTGTGTAGTGGGGTGCCCCAGGGCTCTGTTCTGGGNGCTGCATTAACAGAGGGATAGAATCAAGATCACGTGAAGTATTAATACCACTTTACAATGCCTTGGTAAGGCCACACTTGGAATACTGCATCCAGTTTTGGTCACCACAATGTAAAAAAGATGCTGAGACTCTAGAAAGAGTACAGAGAAGAGCAACAAAGATGATTAGGGGACTGGAGGCTAAAACATATAAGGAACAGTTGCTGGAATTGGGTATGTCTAGTTTAACAAAGAGAAGGACGAGGGGGGACATGATAGCAGTGTTCCAATATCTTAGGGGCTGCCACAAAGAAGAGGGAGTCAAGCTATTCTCCAAGGCGCCTGAAGGCAGGACAAGAAGCAACAAGTGGAAACTGACCAAAGAGAGAAGCAACCTAGAACTAAGGAGAAACTTCCTGAGAGTTAGAACAATTAACCAGTGGAACAACCTGCCTCCAGAAGCGGTGAATGCGCCAACACTGGAAGTTTTAAAGAAGAAACTGGACAGCCATTTGTCCGAAATGGTATAGGGTTTCCTGCCTGAGCAGGAGGTTGGACTAGATGACCTCCGAGGTCCCTTCCAACTTTATCATTATTATTATTATTACTCGCATACAGATGCAGAGTGACATTGAATATTGAATATTTCAAATTTATGGATTAAAAACAATGAGAATAAATTAGGATGTACTTGAGCGTAATCTGTCTATTCTTTCCATTGGATGTGAATTAAAACATGCATTGCCATTCTCATTTTGGTGCATCTAACATGCATTTAACTGCTGCTCTGTAGTAATGAACATTTCTAAGTCCTGATAATAGCATATTTTAATTTACTCTATTGTATGATAGTACTATGCAATATTATATAATTGACAAAGGACATCTAAGTAATTCTCAGGTAGTTAAGGCTAAACAGCTTGCAATTCCATTTTTAAATCTTTCAGCAAAGAACACTTTAATGCAAACATTGGTAGAATACCACATTAATGAAGACTGCAGTCTTTTGAATAATAAGCCCTCCCCTGCAAACTATCATGAATTTGAGATTTGTGAAATAACAGCCAAATATTAGAATAAAAGATAAGTACATTTTAAATTTTGATCATGCTCAGGGCTTTTTTTCAGCCGGAACGCGGCGGAACCGCGTTCCGGCACCTTTTTCCGGGCCGGCCGCACCGGAAATAGCCCCTCCCAAATTTTACTTGCATTCCTGTTCTCTAAAGGGGCGGTCCTAGGGTTTGATGAGGGCGTGGCCAGGTTTGAGTTCCACCACCTTTTCTCTGAGAAAAAAAGCCCTGATCATGCTACAATTTCTCTTTGCCAATTGCTATTAGACAAGAAGTAAAACATTTAAGAATGGCCATGGTATCAACATGTAATCTAAAATATGCATTTTTTTTTCAGATGAGCAAGAGGATGAAGATGCTATTGTCAATAGAATTTCGTATGTATATCTTTACTTTCTTGGTAGATGTTAGAACTATGCAAATACAGCAACTCAAGAATTTCCCTGTTTATGATTCAGGATGATGAGAATTGGTGATGGTAGTAATGCTGAATTTTTATATTGTTTGGAAAGCATTTTTAAATGAAATATAATACTAACATCTGGCTATTTTGCTCACATTTATGTGTGAACAAAATAGGTATATGAGGACCACATGTGAAGATAGCTTATTCTTTCCTGTACAGGCTATATACAGATTTAGTTTTATATAAGGCAGATTTGTGATTTATGTACAAAAGTTTTAATGAGTGGGTTCTAAGTTTGATTTAGACTATCTTCTTAGAAAGTTAAAAGGCGTAGAATATGGAACACACTTCTCAAATTATTAGCGATTTATTGATTTTTATGTAAAAATATTTTTATCTATCCTTTTAGTGCTTACACATTGATGAAGGTAGATAATAGTTCCAATGAAAATACTGTAATAGTTAAAAATAAAAAATAAATGTAACTATTAAAATAGGGCATGAAATAAACTGAAATAAATAAAAAGATAGGTACAAAATAGTGGAAGTTCCTTAGATGCCAGTTTTGTGTTTTGGAGACATATTCAGCCCTAAGCTGAAAATTCACTTTGGTCCATTGTTATCCAATGGTTTGTCAGATTTTTTTTTCCAAATAGAGTATTGAACTCTGCAGGGTTTTTTTTTTGGAAATTACACATACATCATCAGTAATGTAATACATAGATGATGATATTTAGTTTTTTATTTTTAACTAAATCAATAATGTGTAGAGTATAATGTTTAGTTTTTTATTTTTAATTATTTTTTTAACCCCTAAGTTAAATTGCATTTTTATACAAAAACATTTTTGGTGATTATATAAGGAATTGTACTTCCTATTCTTTAGAAATAATGACTGGCATTATGTTGCTATATCTGTCAAAATAACCCACTGGGTTTAGGCCTTAGGCCTGAAATTATTTCCCTGCTATTTGCATTGTAATCCCTTCCATCAGAACGCGTGAATGGCTATTTAGTTAAGAATAATATGATCATGGATTATCCTGTTGAATTATTAATGGGTAACAAATATTGCCTTTTTGGAATATTTGCTTGAACTGCAACAGAATATGGTTATGATTCTGATATATTTTTAAATTTGCCACCTTTTATATGCTAACTGTAGCAAAAACACAAATTTATATTGCTATATATCTTTCTGAAAATGTGAAACTTAGTTTGGTAATATATCGAATCAAAAATATAACATGAGATCCATAGATTAAGCTTTTTTCCTGTTTTATGAAAATGAAAATATTGGTCTAATTACTTTATGCAAACTTTAGACCAGACATGTCAAACACAAGGCCCAGGGGCCGGATGCGGCCCACAAAGTGGTTTCATGTGGCCCGTGAAGCCATCCTGGAAACAGTGAGGGAACGGCCCCCGCTGCCTTGGCCATGGCCCAGGCCGGCCAGGAGCCAATGTACAATTTTGTGGTGGCCATCTATGCTAAACGCATTCAGTCTTAGCTCCACAAGGCTGTCTAGAATAGTGAGGAATCAGCCCCTGCCGCGTCGACCTCGCCCCCTGGGTGCATGCTGGGGAGATGTCACCCTTTGTGAGGAATGAAGAAATGGGCCATGCCTTGCCCCAGTCCCACCCCCTTCTGCCAGAGACCCTCAGATCTGTCCTATTCCTGCCCAGGCTCCCACAGGCACCCTTGACGCGATGTAGAGCTGGCCATGCCCACCCAGTAGGCCATACCCACTCCATCCACGCCCACCCAGTAGGCCACACCCAACCTGGCCACACACCTCCCCCCCCGAGAACAACCGCAATGCTGATGCGGCCCTCAATGAAATTGAGTTTGACACCCCTGCTTTAGACAGTGAACAAGACATTATAAATCAAAATGATTGGCAAACTGGTTAAACGGCTACTTCCTTCCTTGCCATTTCTGACAGCTGTTTTGTCATGATCATTGCCTTTCATTGCAAGTAAAAGTTTTTCTGTAAAGCTGAATCTACGATAATAATTTCCTTTTCTGAGTAAGGTACATGTTTTCCTGCCTATTACGACAACTGGCTTTTTCCCCTTTTCATGTGACTAATCTTTCAAATTTTGGTATTACTCTAAACCCCAAACTTAAAATGCATGTGAAAATTAAAAAATATATTTCTATCTTATAATCAGTTTTTCATAATGGAATATTTAATAACTGAGGTGTTTTTATTTTCTGGATTCCATTATTCCTTGATCTGAAACATCTATGAAATGTTTTGATTACGGCTACCCTGCGGTAAGCTAGGTGACCAATACATTTAATCACTCAATCATTATTTATTATCTACTCGCTTTCAAGCCAGGATATTATATAGAGCACAGAAAATGAGTAAGAGATAGTAAGCTAAATAATTAAAGGTATAAGAAAAGAAAAGATGGTTAAAACAAGCATCTGCCCAAACTACTCGATACACTCCTTCGAATCTTTCTGTTCTTTCAGATCTTCCTCCCTTCCACCACACTGACATGTTTCTTCAGATATGGTCTTTTGTCCTTCAAACTTCTCTTTCATCAGCTCTCTTCAACCATAACTTTCTCAGGCTTCCTCTTGACTCATTGATTCTTCTTTTATGTATTTGTTTTGCAATGTGATCCTCATTCGTTCTCTCTATTTGACCACACTACTTCAATGTATTTTTTTTGTCCTGGTCCATCATTTTTGTATTCACTTCACATTCAGTCAGCACCTAATAATTTCCACCCTTTATCAATTTATGTTAACACAGATTTAAATACTCAGTTCCCACTGCATTCATTGATTATCTAAAAACACAGCTGTCACTTCCATGTAGTAAAAAGGGGCAGGAGCACGGTCCTATATACAAACATTTTTTTCCCAACAAGTATTCATTGTTTGGAACCACCAATGTGCTATCCACTACTTACTTACCATCTTAATATTTCTCCATCTGTCATCCTGTCTTTAATAAACATTCTGTCAAGGTACACTGAATTATCTATTTGTTCTGGGGTTTTTTCTTAATAAATTACTGGCAAGCCTCAATTCCTCTGATACCTATCATAAAGTCAATTTGATTTTTAGTGGAAAATATGCACCAAGCTTTCCAAATTTTTCTTATTATTATCTTTTTTTACTGTTTTGATCATAATTCTGTGAAACACCATTCCAAGTGCATATTAAATCAACCTCTTTATAGTTTTTGCATTCTGTGTTGTGCCTTTCCAATAGTATAGGGAAATATAACAATATTCTTTAATGGCGTACTTGTACAGGTTCTCCTTAAAAGATTTTTGAACTGAGTATAGCTCTAGAAAATGCACTTGGATGTTTCCTCCTCCATATAGAAAACAAAACCAATATATTTTAATCTTACCAAGTTTTTGGAGCAAAGTTGGCAACTGCAAAGACCCAGCTATGTGCATGAAACATCTATCTCCTCTTCCTGATTCAGATCTTTGAGTTCCTGCAGTTCTTCAGTCCAGAAGACAGTTACAATTCCAGAAGAATTTCAGGAACTCAAAGGTCTGAATTGGGGAGAGGGGCTAGAAGTTTTATGTATGTAGCTGGGACTTTGCAATTACCGACTCTGCTTTAAGAGTTTGATGGAATTAAAATATATTGGTTTGTTTTCTATATAGACTGTATTAAGGAAAAAAATGTCCTAAGCAAATATCAGTTGGTTTACTTAAAACTTGATCTTTAATGAGTTAATCCCTCCCCCAATAAAATCTAAGACTGAGATCCAAAAAACTTTTGTAAGCATGCTTATAAACATGCTTAGAGTTTACTTTTCTTTTTTTTCCAGATGTGGATCATCATTATCTCTGTGAAACCTGTTTACATTTTCCTTAATTTCACTGTTGGGATTTCCATGAGTGACGAATAGATATCTGAAAAAGATTAGCACCCATTTGCCTACAGAATTAGTTGCTGCATTCCTTGACTTTTGAGCTAATGTATATGCTTTTTTGGTATTGATGTGCCCAGTTCTAGTGTTCTCCAGTAGAGGGAGTGCTTCCATTAACTCTGGACAGATGTTGTTTGCTTGAACTAGCCTAGTATGTGGACGACATACTTTTTTTAAATACAGAATTTAATCCTGTAGAAGAAATATAGATAATTATATGATAAATCAGCATAGAGAAATTTATTAGGGTATCAGCGTCATAGGTTTTATTTTTAACACAGGTTCAATTATATTTGCAGAAAATCTTCGATTGATGCAAATTATACAGCATTTATTCTACTTGAAGCATGGTAGCTTCAAGTAGAATAAAATATTCTAAAATATTATTAGAAAAAATATTTGCTAAAACTTCTGTTGATTTTAAAATTGCTCCATAGAGACTAAAAATATTACTGCCGTTCTGTCTTTCAGGCTGTTCCTGAGCACTTTTACTCTTGCAGTTTCAGCGGGCGCTGTGCTCCTCTTACCTTTTTCAATAATCAGCAATGAGATTCTGCTTTCTTTTCCCCAAAGTTACTATATCCAGTGGTTGAATGGTTCTCTAATTCATGGTTAGTATGATGTCATGTAACATTGCTATTTGAATGTATGGTATGTTATAACTTGTGGATGCCTTTAAAGGTAGCCCTCAACTTACAACCATCTGCTTAGCAGCTGAAGTTACAGTGGCACTGAAAAAGTGACTTATGACCAGTCCTCACACTTATGACCATTGCAGTACTCTGCCCCCATGATTAAATTTTGGGCACTTGGCACCAGTATGTGCCGTGTTTACCTGAAAATAAACCCCACCCCGAAAAAAAGACCTACCCTGATTTGTGGGGGTGGGTCTAATATAAGCCCTACTCCAAAAATAAGCCCTAATTAGGACCCCGCCCACTCTGTCCCACCTGGCTGCCACAATGGGGCAGGAGGCCGCATGGCATATCACGCTAAAGAGCTTGGTGCACCATTGCCCAACTCCTCCCTCTTCTTGCGAGCATTTCTTCACTAACCTGCTTTCCAACTCCGGCACGTTTCTCTCCTGCTGCAAGGAAACGGAGTTCGTGAGACTAAAAAAAGTTCAGTCAGACCTTCCAACTTCTTATGAAAAAAAAAAAAAATCTCGCGAAGTTGGAAGGTCTGACTGAACTTTTTTTTGTCTCATGAATTCCGTTTCCCTGCAGCAGGAGAGAAACGTGCCGGAGTTGGAAAGCAGGTTAGTGTTGACTTTTTGCTTTTGGGAAGAGGGAGGAGCTGGGCGATGGTGCGCCAAGCTCTATTATAGCAGCACTGGGGGGAGAAGTAGCAGGAAACAGGGCTGCCCTTTCCAGAACGGAGAAGGGAGAGACGGGGCGAAGCAGGGTGGTAAGTAAGTGCTTTTCTCTGCTCTGCATTGCTGCCCAGAGCTGTTCCCCTCCCCGTTCTCCATGCTCTCCAGTGGTGGTGACTGAGGGCTGGCGGAAAGAAGTGGCAGGGGAGGCTTGCGCTGCCCAGTCATGGCGCAAGCTATGGGAGAGTTGGTGGTGGTGGAGGAGGAGGAGGAGGAGGAGGCTGCTGCCGGGCAGATGATCTGTGGGGCAAAGCATGAAGAAAGCCCCTCTAGCGGCGCACAGCGACAGTGGAGTCTTTCGCTGTCACTCCCGTCTGGCTTCGAAATGGCGGAGGGCAACCAGGCCTACCCCACCCATCCTCCATATGGTAGCATGGTAGTCCGGTTCAGGAAGAGAGTGAAAGGGAGGAAGGAATGGCTTGGCTGGGGGGGGGGTCTGAAGGAAGCGGGTGCGGGGCGCGTGGGGCAGCTCCACCCCCTCTCCCACCTGCCTTGCCTCGTAGTGGTATAATGTGTCATGTGCCCTCCTGCCGTGAGCGGCCACAGCAGAAGTGGGGCGGCACCAAGTGGGCTCCTGCTGGATGGGACTGTTGGTGTCGCTGCCGTGAGGTGAGGCAGGTGTCACGGAAAATATAAGACAACGCCCAAAAGTAAGACCTAATGCCTCTTTTGGAGGAAAAAAGTAATATAAGACTGGGTCTTACTTTCGGGGAAACACAATATTTCTGACAGTTGTAGGGTCCTGTGGTCATGTGTCACCATATGTGGCCTTCCCAGCTGCCTTACAAAATGCAAATCAATGGAGGAAGCCAGATTTGCTTAATGACAACATGATTCACTGCAATTATTCACTTAATAGCTGTGGCAAAAAAAGTCATAACATTGGGGGCAACTGGAGGATTTTTAATAAATGAATAATTTGTGGGATCTGATTATTTTAATAGAATTTGGAAACCATATCAGGAAATTGTATGTGAATTTTCTTAATAGCCAGTAATATTGTCAGCATCTTGAAATACTGAAAGTAAACATTATGTAAAGTTTGAATACAGGGGTACCTCCTTACTCATTGTTAATTGGTTCCGGAAGGCGTGACAAGTACTAAACATATCATGTGACTTAACACATGATCCTTTGTTTCGTCTGGAAAGGGTCATGAGGTAGCTGACACCAACAAGTTCTAGCTTGCGTGTCAACACCAAACAAATGACAGGTATCAAAATTTTCACATCAAAATGCTTTGAGTACCAAATTCAATGAGTTTTAAAGCAGTTGAGTACTGAGTATGATTGTGTATGTTACCCTGGTGGTCCTCAATCATTATAAAATGGATTATTTTTGCAATTATTTCTTACTTACATTTTCATAGAAAATACTTTTAAAAGAGTTTGGCAACCAATATTATAAAACATTCTATGAAGTAATTGATATAGCTATTCTTTTATTTGGAATTATTTCAAAATCTTAAACATGTTTAAAGTTAATGTAAACGTGTTGAATTTGTAGAATTTAAACAAAATATATTATAATGATTGTGCCATTTTTATATAATAATTTTGACAAATAGGTTGTTGTTTTAAAATAAAGACAAATTTTGTTCAACTTTAAATCTCAGTATATAAAACAAAGGGGAAAAAGGATTAAAAAGTCATGAAATTCTAAAAATGCATTTGCCAAATATGAGTGTTTTTTTTTCTATTCCATGTGTGTCCAGCAGATGGAGATAGAATATAGTACAAGTGGCCTATGGATATAAAGCTTGTCATTTCACAAAATACTATAGGCAAGGGTGAGGCTTTATTAGAGCTGGTGAAATGCTTAATTTCTGTTTATCTTATAATAAATATCTTAATCCGATATTGCATCAGATAGAAGCTGGCAAGAATTTTGTGTTTATTTATAAAATCCAAGATACACTGTAGTTTTCTCTTTGAATACATGTATATTTTTGTCTATACATTCAGCAACCCTTATCTCATATTTTCTATCATTGTGTTACATTGTGTTACATCAACATACTTTTGATGTTAAAGAACTATTTTTAGAGGGGATAGGTAGGTAAACCTGAGTCCAGTATTTATGAAGATATCAGACACAATATAAAACAGATCATGCATACAGATATTTTCTGAAGTATTTTTTTTCATGCACAGTTTTTGCCTGCACTGCTTGCGTTAAATGAATCAGTTCTGCTACCAGTAGTAACTTTCAAAGAATCAAACAATGTTTGGTACCTAATAGAACGATTAAACATTTGCATTTGGCATTCAGTCTGATACATAATATGCTTTAGAAATTATTTCGAAGCGGGAGTATGAGAATGTAAAAGAGGCAGCTGCTTTTCCTTTAATGTGGCTCCTTAAAATAGCTGCATTTGCTTTTGGAAACCTGAAAAGACTTGCATCGATTCTGAAACACCTTGAGACACCTCATGAAGCATTCAGAGCTCCAATATCTGGAATCTTAAATCTTCAGAGCAGTGAACATGTCAGGAGAAATCCTGTGATTATGCTGCTAACATGATATGAAAGCTAGTAATCACCAAACAGCATTTGAGAATGCATTTTAATTTATGGACAAATACTTTGTGTGGAAAAAAATACAGCTTACAGAACCAGACATCTTTTCAAGACCATCTAAAATTGCTGTGTTTACATCTTAAAAGATCGCCAGGAGGGGAAAAAATTAAAAGTAATTTTTTTCTATGATATGTTTAAAATTCTGCTGTCTTTGAGAAACAATACATTGACATATTCCTTTTCTTATTTTGTTTAGGTTTATGGAATCTTGCTTCCCTCTTTTCCAATCTTTGTTTGTTTATATTGATGCCCTTTGCTTTCTTCTTTCTGGAGTCAGAAGGCTTTGCTGGCTTAAAAAAGGTGCGTAGCTATTATATATTCAGTGAATGGGATATCAGAAGTGCCATGTGATGGGGGGGAGGGTACTTGGCACTTTCTGAGCTTGGTTATTTTAATAACAAGAACAACAACAACAACAACAACAATAGAGTTGGAAGGGACTTTGGAGGTCATTTAGTCCAAACCCCTGGTCAGGCAGGAAACCCTATATAATTTCAGACAAATGGCTGTCCAGTCTCTTCTTAAAAACTTCCAGTGTTGTTCTAACGGTCAGGAAATTTCTCCTTAGTTCTAGGTTGCTTCTCTCCTTGGTCAGTTTCCATCCGTTGCTTCTTGTCCTGCCTTCAGGTGCTTTGGAGAATGGCTTGACTCCCTCTTCTTTGTGGCAGCCCCTGAGATATTGGAACACTGCTATCATGTCCCCCCTCATCCTTCTCTTCATTAAACTAGATATACCCAATTCCTGCAACCGTTCCTTATATGTTTTAGCCTCCAGTCCCCTAATCATCTTTGTTGCTCTTCTCTGTACTATTTCTAGAGTCTCAACATCTTTTTTACATCGTGATGACCAAAACTGGATGCAGTTTTCTTACAGACGCTTTATTACAGTACTAGGTAACATCATCATCATCATGTCAATAGACACATTGACATAAACAATACCCACATATTATGCAAAAGAGACAATCAGCAAGCCAAAAAGGAATCAAAAAGACCAAAACCCCTCCCCACCAGCAATCAGTATCCAGATGAGCATAGATTTAAGTCCAACATTAACATCACAACAACAATCAATATCTCAGTCAAGGAAAGGCCAAACAAGCTGACCAAAGAAGCTCTAAGGCCTTTCCCACCAAACACTGACAGGTCAAGCTACCAGCCTATAAACTGAGACCAAATTAATTTTTACTGATGATGTTATCTAATTTGGGTAATGAAATATCTGCAAGAAAACACCCAAGCTCAGAGAGCACCAAGGGCCCCCATTTCAACCCTGACCTACAAATATTCTCCTTTATTGATACCATGTAATCATTGGCAAAGCTAAAGATATTATGTTTGAGCTAAACGTAATAATAGAACCTGACTTTTATAATACAGATAGTCCTCAGCATATAACCACAACTGGGACCAGAATTTCTGTTCCTAAGAAAGACAGTTGTTAAGTGAGGTGCCAAATTTTATGATCTTTTTTGCCATGGTTATTAAATGAAGCATTGCAGTTGTTAAATGAATCCCACAGTTGCTAAGCAAACCTGGCTTCTCCCATTGACTTTGCTTGTTGGAAGCTTGGGTGGGAAGATGACAAGTGGCTGTCATATGACCCTGAGATGCTGCAGCCATCAAAAATACAAAATTTGATCCCATGACCATGGGAATGCTGATTGTAAATACAAGTACTGGTTGTAAGTCACTTTTTTCAGCACCATTATAACTTTAAATGGTTGCTAAACCAATGATTGAAAGTCGAGGATCTACCTGTAGGTTATTTTGTAATGTATAGTAATAAAAAATGATAATGAAGTAAAAAAACCCTTTGTTTACGTTAGAGTTATGAGCGAACTGCAAGTATTTAACTATTATTAGTTTCTACTATTGAATAAGTATAATATGATATAACTATTTTGAAAGAGGAGAAGCATGTGTATAAGCATGAGTCATTAAATACTGACAGCATTCAGATTTTAATGTGCATTAACTTGAATAATAAATTCATAATTTGTGATTATTGCATATCAGTATATTCAAAATGCAGTCATGCTGAATTTGATCCTATTTTCATTTTTCCAGCATTCATTTAACCTTGTCAACTATATTTCTCTGTTCCATTTTGATAGTATTTCAGATGGTCTGGTTTATCCTAGTTCATTGCAAATGAACAGTCTGCTGTCATGTGACCTATCACAACTTTTTTGCCTTTGCAGAGCTGGGGTGGGTATGGCCTGCGTGTGATGTATCCGTCCCGCAGTCCGCCAATTTGACACCCCTGCAGTACATTGTTTGCTTCTTACCTCTGTTCTTCATGCAAGTTGATAACATCAATCAAGAAGTCTTATTTTATAATTTCCAAACCAAGATTTCTGATTTCTAAACAATCTGGTACTCATAAAGCAACAATAAATCTTAACAGCATACATTTATTCAACTGTTTCTGGAATGTTTGATTTTCTGTAGAAGTTTGCAGTTACATTAAGAAATCAAACAATTTGGCAACTGACCTGAAAAATATCTGGGAGGAATCTAATGTAGATTCAATTTCTCTATGTTAAAGCACTAATCATAGCAAAAACAGTAGGAGATTTGAATGGGAAATCTTCAGATATATTTTCTTCCTTATTTATCCTTTATCCTTGCCGATAGAGTTGATCTTTATTCCTTTCATGAAAGGGTTTCTCCAGAAGAACAATGAGAGCCATGCCAGATATCTTTAAAAGTACATTTAGTTCAGTATAGAGTTCTGATAGCCATTATACTGAAGTCCACAAGTAGGACATGAATGGAATGTAATCTTCGCACTCATGTTCTCCCAACAACTGGGAGTCAGGCATAACGTCCTTCAGAGTATGGTAAATATAAGAAGACTTTGACAGTGATTAGATGCCCAACTATGCAGATAGCTAGATGCAAATCCCTATATCTGAAGTTGAACTCTAGGGTGAAGTTGGAGGTACTAGTTGATATACAGGTAGTCCTTGACTTATGACCACAAATGAGCCCAAAATTTCTGTTGCTAAGTAAGACAGTTGTTAAATAAATTTTGTCCCATTTTATAATCTTTCTTGCCATAGTTGTTAAGTGAATCACTTCAGTTAAGTTAGTAACGGCTGCTAAGAGGATTTCCAAATATCTGAATTTTGATCTTGTGACCATGGGGATGCTGTAGCGGTTGTAAGTGTGAAAATGGTGCAAGTCACTTTTTTCTGTGCCATTGTCACTAAACAAATGGTTGTAAGTTGAGGACTTAACTGTATCCTTGTCAGTATCCTGTTCTGGGCATTTCAATCTTGTTTTGGGATGATTCATTTCCACTGGCTACTGGTACTAGGGATTTTGATTCCATTCCCTAGGGTAGGGACCCATCTAATCAGCTTGTTATCAAGCTTCTTCTAGACTAGACTTTGTTTATTAGAGAGTCATAATACATTTCAAATGCCTTGTTGAAATGATGACTGAGTCCTCACCATTCCTACAGTCTTTTCAGTAATCATCTGATAAAAATTGAGTGAGATTAGTTTGATAAAACTTATCCTAGATCAGGGGTGTAAAACTGCCGGCCCAGGGGCCAGACGCGTCACGTGAAAGCCGCACCCACCCCATTGCCCGCAATGGCAAAACAGTCCCAATAAGTTGCGTGACGTCACGTGATGTAGCGAGTTTGACATGTCTGTCATAGATGAATCTATTGACTTCTAATAATGATGCCACATTAAGCTTTTTCAAGATACAAATTACTTTATGATCTGGTCTAGAATCTTGCAGGTAATGGGATCATATGTTGGTCTCTAATTCCCTCGATCCTTTCCCAATTTTTGAGTTAATTATTTCAAAAAATCTCTTAAGTAATTTGCAAACATGTTTGGGTATAAATCTTCCTATAGTTCAAATATATATCTTACATATTTTCTATGAAGAAATTCTTGTTATAAGTAAAATACAATAAAATTTTCCACTTATATTGCAAACAATTTTATTAAGCAAAATTATTAATTTAAATAATTTAATATTAATAAACAGATTCTTCATCTCACAACTCAGCCTTTTACTATAGGCAAGTCCAAAAGGCAGCATCTTTTCCAATCCAAACAGAACCCTAAAATAATAACAATAGTTAATAAATATAAAACTCATTATTCCATATCTCACCTCTTTAATTGCAAGCAAATCCAATATACAACATCTTTTCCAATCCAGATGTCAGCAAGTTCTAGAGAGAACACCCCAAATAACAAATTCCATTTTAGCCATTTGATCAAATAAGCAACTTACGTTTCTTCTTTTTGTAAAACAATCTTAACAAACCTCTTTTGTGAGTCTAGGAAGAAAAAAAAATTCTGATTACTCTTGGGACTGGCATTTTTATTTTCTTCTTAATTTTTAAAACTTCATCTGGTTTTTTTTTCTTGTATGTTTAATGACAAAGTCTTGTTCATGTTTTTCTCAATTCTTTTGGATAGATTTTGTTCCAAATATTTTTCTTTAACAGCTTCTTTGGTGTAACAACTTCTTCTGGGATCACGTGTTCATAAGAACACCAAGTATTGCTGACATTGTCGATTCAAAGTCCTGATGCAATTCTTGAAAGATGTCCCTGAATACCATTTCAAGTTCCTTATCTTGTTACATCCCCAGTATCGAAAGTGATTATTCTTTCAAAGTTAACTTCAAAGTCTTGATATTCAAAATCAACTATTCCAACGTTTTCTGAGCCCTTAATCCTTTTAAAACCTTCTACAGTCAGAACCTTGCCTTGCTTCTTGCTATTTTGAATTCTTAAAACTTATAAAGATGAAGTTTCATTTTGTTACATTAAGGGTTGGGGACATTCACCCAGTGCTTTCAGCCTTGTCATTTTGAAAGCGTTTAACTTGTTTCAAGTTAATAGGCAATTTCCAAATGTGGTTAGCAAAAGAAGTGCAAATATATTGTCCTTTGAAGGCTCCAACGGTGGCAGAATGGGACAACTTGCCATGGCCAACTTGTCACAGCCAACTGAGGCAAGTTCAACAATTCAATTTAATTATTTAAAATAATTTAAAAACGATGTTAATTTCTGTCATTCACATTTCATTTTGTCCCTCCTTTTGCATCCTTTCTTTAATTAATTCTGTTCCAACATTTCTTCGATGTTATTGTAACTCTTGTCCCGCAGTGAATTGGCCACAGTAAGTTGTCCTAGACACCCCCCCACTTGGCTGAGGCAAGAATGGCAGATTCCCTTGCAGATGTCTTGCAGCCTTGTCATTGTTGAGGAACAAATGTATGGAGCAGAACGTGGGCAATCTCTCGTCGTCTCTTTCTCCAGGCAGGATCAAAAAAAACCTGATCTGCTCTTCAGCTTCTTGTTTCTTAGTTGCAGTTGTTGGCTCTGTTTTCTGCATTTTTTGTTTTGTTTGTAAAAAGGGAGTTTAGTGTGCCATGTTGCTAAGGAAGTCCCATCACTGACGTTATTTTTCCATAGGCAAATATTATATGTAGTATAGCAAATGTACTATTTGTTACTGTACTATTACAGTACAGGAGATAGTACTATTTGTATTAATTTGTTTCTGTAATATTGGCCATGATCATGGTTATGCCTGTTACATTGATATTGTTGGTTCCTTTAAAAATGATTATTTTTCCTTTGTCACCAGCAAATTTAAATGCCAATTAATGGTGTTCATTCATAATAACCTAGGATTCAACTATTGTCTCATATCAATCCCTTTTGGCAACCATTTTTTAAATAATTTTTTTGAATGTAACATCAAGATTCATATATAGAAATTGGTCACTCATCATGGATAGGTGTAGTGTTTGCTTGAAAAACGAAACTGAACACGACTCTCTCTAGGATTTTAGTTAAACTATTTTGTTAATTCAGACAGATTATTGTCCGCCTAGAGGGGTTAGCTTGCACTTTTGAAAAAAGAGATTTTTCCCCCCTTAGAGTATTGAGGAAAAAGATATCTCAGATGGTTCTGTTTGACCAGTTGTTGTCTATCATGTAAAAAGGCAGTTGGTGGTGTGGGGCTTGGAAGCAAGAAGTACTTTCCTAAGAAGAAAGCAACTTCTACTGATGGAAGGACTGCGTTATATCTTGTACTAGGTTATTTACCCCACTTCCCCAAAATGAAGCTGAAGCAGATTTCTTCTGCCTACGCAAATGAAAGCATAGGTATTTGGAATAAATCTAACTGTTGTGTGATGGGAAGGTTTGAACAACTTTTTATGGAAGTAATTTTAGAACTGAGTTGTGCCATGTGTTTGGTACTCAGTGGAGAAAATCTGTGGATTCAGAGCTTAACCAAGAACATCAAAAGAGGATGCTTAATAAAGGGACATAAATTCTAACTACTGTGTGGTGGTGCAGTGGTTAGAATGCAGTATTGCAGGGCTATTGCCAGCAGTTAGATTCTGACTGGCTCAAGGTTGACTCAACCTTCCATCTTTCCGAGATCAGTAAAGTGAGGATCCAGATTGTTGGGGGCAATAGTCTGACTCTATAAACCACTTAGAGAGGGTTGTAAAGCACTGTGAAGCAGCATATAAGTCTAAGTGCTATTGCTGTGGCTATAAACCGTTAGCTAATAAAAGCAAATGGTAGCAATTTCTTTAATTAATTAGGCCAGATGGAAGCGAAGAGGCCAGTCTGTGAAGCTGAACAACATGACAGCACAATGGAAGAGGAGCACACATTGTTTTAATATACTTCTATCCTGTTTCACAATTTTAAATTGTCCTAATTTATGTTCCTTTTGGCAAATTTACATAAAAGTGACTGCATTGTATTTTGTGATCAGATGACTTTGTCCCGTTTTCTAGCTAATTTATATCAGGCCTTCATTAGTAAAGAGACAGAAAAAGAAGTAGGGAGCAAAAGCAATAGGTCTCAAAGGCACTTCATTGCATTCCTTTATTAGGGCTTGCTTATTTTTTGGGCACTGACAATTTATAAATTGCTGAAAATAAGTGATTGAGGAACTGTGTTGTTTAGTGTTAGTGGCACATAGATGTTTCTTGGTGCAGCCTTTTTTTGTGAATGAAAGGAAAACAGATATTGGAAGAAGGAAGAATCCTGCTGGGAGCTTTTCAAGAAAATTTAGCCTACATAATGTTTTGATCTTAATGTTTGTTACAAAAAACATACAGCAGTATTTTACCAGATTCTGTATGTCAACTAACCCCATCACTGCTGTCTTTTCTACACTGAATAATCAGTATTTTTTGTTGTTGTTTAAAAGTGAAACTGGTTGGCTTTATGTTTTAATATGCAAGTGACAGACTGTTGCTCAACAGATAAATTTTATGAAAGCACGATGCATAAAATTAAGTTAGCATTGCTAAAGTTTAACAAAACTGGTGGCAAGGCTACTTCACAATATGCCAAAATACATTTTAAAAGCTGCTATTAGCACTGCAAATTGCCTGCTTCATAATAGTGACAATTTTGGCTAATTTCCATTGCTGGCTGGGAGTGGAAGTCCAGTCATCTTAAATGTCTCTGGAGATTCTCAGTCCTCCAGACCATAGTTATCCAAAGATGATTTTTTTTCACGAGGCACCTGGACTTACTTATTTTTCTTTATAGACGTTTTGCTTCTCATCTAAGAAGCTTCTTCAGCTCTGACTGGATGGTGGGGGAATGGAAAGATTTATACTCCTTGCAGACAGCTGGTCATTTGCATTTGCAAAATGTCTTCAAAGAAAAAAAAAAGAAAAAAAAAGGAAGTCCAGTCTTGTGAAAAAAAAGCATCTTTGGGACAGTCATCTTAAAGTTGCTAAGTCTAAAAACACTGTCCTAGAGTGTAAATGATCTCCAAAAATGTTTGTATTACTTGAGCCACGGACAATGACAATCACTTCAATATGAGCCAGCAGTGTGCTGCAGCTGCCAAAAAAGCCAACACAGTGCTGGGCTGCATTAACAGAGGGATAGAATCAAGATCACGTGAAGTGTTAATACCACTTTACAATGCCTTAGTAAGGCCACACTTGGAATACTGCATCCAGTTTTGGTCACCACGATGTAAAAAAGATGCTGAGACTCTAGAACAGTGTTTCTCAACCTTGACAATTTTAAGGCATGTGGACTTCAACTCCCAGAATTCCACAGCCAGCAATGCTGGCTGTGGAACTCTGGGAGTTGAAGTCCACATGCTTTAAAATTGTCAAGGTTGAGAAACACTGCTCTAGAAAGAGTACAGAGAAGAGCAACAAAGATGATTAGGGGACTGGAGGCTAAAACATATGAGGAACGTTTGCTGGAATTGGGTATGTCTAGTTTAACGAAGAGAAGGACGAGTGGGGACATGATAGCAGTGTTCCAATATCTCAGGGGCTGCCACAAAGAAGAGGGAGTCAAGCTATTCTCCAAGGCGCCTGAAGGCAGGACGAGAAGCAATGGGTGGAAACTGATCAAGGAGAGAAGCAACTTAGAACTAAGGAGAAACTTCCTGACAGTTAGAACAATTAACCAATGGAATAACCTGCCTCCAGAAGTGGTGAATGCTCCAACACTGGAAGTTTTTAAGAAGAGACTGGACAGCCGTTTGTCTGAAATGGTATAGGGTTCCTGCCTGGGTAGGGGGTTGGACTCGATGACCTCCAAGGTCCCTTCCAACTTTATTATTATTATTATTAACAAATAGATAATGTTTGCTCCTACTGTGTTTGATTTTAAATTATGGTACCGGTAGTCCTCGACTTGCAACAATTCATTTAGTGACCGTTCAAAGTTATCACTTATGACTGTTTTTCACACTTACGACCATTGTAGCAACTCCAGGGTCACATGATCAAAATTCAGATAGTTCATATTTATGATGGTTGCAGTGTCCTGGGGTCACGTGATCAGCTTTTGCAACTTTCTGACAAGCAAAGTCGATGAATTCAGATTCCCTTAACAACCATGTTATTAACAAATGCAATGATTCACTTAACAATTGTGGCAAGAAAAATCGTAAAATGGGGCAAAACTCATTTAACAGATGTTTCACTTAGCAACATAAAGTTTGGGCTCAATTATGGTCGTACGTTGAGGACTGCCTGTATTTAACATGATGAGTTGGAGCCCTACTGCTTAGCCTCTTGGCACCATAAACTTTGGACTGGGAATTCTAATGAGAATTGGCTGCCTTTTGCTCCACAGCAGTACATCTCTTCAACTAGGAGAGATCTAGGAGAAAAGCCATGTTGCATTTGCATTTCTTCCATCTGGGCTGATGTGTAGTGGGAATAGAAGTTGATATTATTTGGGTGTTGTTGTTTTTTAAACTTGTTTTCTAGATTTTATAACGGCTTTATGCTTGATGCTATTACATGGAGCAGATAAAGTTTTTTCCAAACGTTGTAAGAAAATTTGTAACTGAAGTTATAACGGACCTATTAATTCTCACACTAGTTTGCTTTGATAGGAAACAAATCTTTATTATTATAATTTTGTTTGAAATTCAAAGTATTGTTTGCTGATATAGCTACCAAATTAAATGTCTTAATGAAAAAAAAGCCTTTGTGAATGTAGCATGAGTAACTTTAATGAAAATAAATAAAAATAGAACAGACGATACTTATTAAGGATTATAAAAAAAAATTCTCCAAGCTGTTTCAGTTTTGGTTTAGCTTCTCAAAAAAAGCCAATTTTAAGAAAGTATCAATATATCTATCTATGTTTGTATCCATTTCTTCTTTACTTTGTGCATTATTTTTTTTTAATAGGGAATCAAAGCACGTATTTTGGAAACCCTTGTTATGCTCATTCTTCTCGCGTTGCTTATCCTTGGAATTGTGTGGGTAGCTTCAGCTCTCATAGACAATGATGTTGCAAGTATGGAGTCCTTGTATGGTAAGAAAATCTTTTCTCTGTTCTGCTTTTCTAAAGAAAGGTAACTGAGTAGCCATTAGACAAAACAAATCTACATTTTTATAGGGTAACTTAGATTCTAAGCTTTTTAAATATTTTTATTTCTTCCCATCTTATGTTTCACTTGGGATTGGGTTTGAGATAACTGCTGGGTGGGATAACGGTGACAATTTGTTTCTTCATTTCAGGACCAAAAATGTCATAAATAAAAAAAATGTATAAAATGCTAATTGAAAGGTTGTAATCCAGTTGAGAGCAAGAGAAAGTGTTTTGATTTTGCAGAAGTTGAGATTGGATTTTCTGGATGATCTGCCTTTCCCCGAGAGATTTGTTTTCTGATTTATTTATTTTTTAAAAAAAAATCATTTGAAGAGATAGTGATTGCCTTTAATCAATTATATTTTTATTAGCAAGAATGTTGTTGCATATTTGAGGCCAGTAATAGAGTACACAAAAACATTCTTTTTCATACTTTCATGTATATTAGATGAAATAATATACTAAATTATGTATGCTTTAATTTCAGATCTTTGGGAATTCTACCTCCCTTATTTATATTCCTGTATATCTTTGATGGGGTGCTTATTACTTCTACGTAAGTTTTCCATACATATATTAGAAATAATATTTAGTAAGACTTTTTGACCTTTCAACGCAGGTATCAGACACTTGCTATTTTCTGTGTGAGTATCCTATATTTGGCCTTAGCCCCGTGCAAGCATTCGAAAGAGGCGCTTTTAAAATATTAACATGACAGAAACATATCTCTACAACTTGCTGAAAAAACTCTGTTCTTTGGTAGAATTAGCTGGCTTGAAGACATCTCCTAGTTATTTGCATGTCTGTTTGCTTGCACAGCCATTTTGTTGGTAATGTGCACACAAGTTGGTCAAGATGCACATAGACACAAATTGCCAGAGGAAGCTTTTGAGGCAGTTGAAAAGGTCTTCTAAGGATGCGGCTGTTTTAAGATTTCAAAGAGAGATTCTTTCCACTAACTGCCATACTTCTAAGCATTTGGCACAGTCCTATAGAACTTGGGCTTTCTAAAATGTATTGCTTTAGCTGTCACTGATAAAAAATACTTACATTCTTTTAAAATACTTAACTCATTACTTCCAGGGTTTCAAAAATTCCTTGGAACATAATGGTGTGAAGTAGCTAATAATTCACCTAGCTTCATATGATTCATGGTGCGTTTAAACACTCATCCCTTCCTTCAGGCCATGATGGTAAACCTGGTACCTAAAAATCAATCATAAAATAAATTACACACAAACACACACACACACAAACCTAGTAAAGTTGCTTAAAAAACCCTAATGAAGCAATAAATAAATCTATATAAATAAAAATGTAAATGTTCATTTGTTCAAAATCTTAAATCTCCGAAAGTTCTTCACCGATTGCTTTGAAATTTTGACACAATGTTGCATTTGAATACGCGCGTGTTTTTATATACCTATATTATATAGATGTCATACCTGTGACAGGTAAAACATGCTTTTTTTGAAAAACAGCGCCATCTGTTGGACGTAAAAGCAACACACGCTTTTACCAGACTGAGCCACAGCAACGCGTGGCCGGGTACAGCTAGTAAGTAATAAATAAATCAAGTAAGAAGTAGGAGTAATGTTTAACACTGCTGTTCAGCCCACATGTATGCTGGACTAGTAATAATGAAATCCTGAACCAGAAAGAGAGCAACATAAATCATCTCAGACAAATGCCTATGTAGCCTCCAGCTGGAGCTCCAGCAAAATGGAGCCTAACATTTCACTGGGTCCATTGGTTTCAGTTTTGAACCACTGTTAACTATTCTTACTTATAGAAATTATTTGGAATGTCTCTTTGTGTAGGTTAAATCCATTGTTCTGTCCTCTGGAACAAGAAAGAACAGATTTTAAACCTCAGTAGCCGTGTTTCTTAAAATATAGCCTGAGGGCTCCTTCAGGATCCTCTCAAAGGTCTGCAATATCAAAATTACTTGCCATATATTGAATATATTTGCAAAGATATAAAACAATGTCTCTTCTCATTACTATATTTGTTGAAAAATCATATAGGATTCTTTCATGAAAAATATCTTAATATCTAACCTTGTTATTTTTACATTATTCAACAATAATTCATTTCTGTGAATGAATCAATTTTAAAATTTAAAATGGCGAATCTTAATAAATATAATACATATAAACAAAAGCTCTTTGGGGTTTCTTAATAGGTTTTAAAAGTAGGAAAGAGTTAAGGATAAAAGATTTAAGAAACGCTAGCATAATTTCAGGTTTCTGAAAACAGTTTGTCTCCTATCTCAATCACCTCTTCTCAAGCCTAACCATCCTCGTCTCTTTCCATGTCTTTTTAGTCTTGTGTACTAAGCATTAGACACCAAAATGTACTATTATAATACTTAGGTCAGTGTATATAAATAGAGAAATTCTGACTTATACTTAACACCAAAACTACAAAAAGCATGAAATAAGAAATATAGAATGTAAGATACATGTAATCTTCGACTTATAACAGTTCATTTAGTGACCATTCAGAGTTACAACGGTACTGAAAAAAATGACTTATGATCGTTTTTCACTGTTACAACCTTTGCAGCATCCTCATGATTATGTAATTAAAATTCAGATGTTTGGCAACTGGTTCATACTTATGACCGTTGCTGTGTCTCTTTTGCAACCTTCTGACAAACAAAGTCAAAGGGGAAGCCAGATTCACTTAACAACCAGGTGACTAACTTATCAACTGCAGTGATTCATTTAGCAAATGTGGCAAGAAAGGTCGTAAAATGGGGCAGAACTCACTTAACAAATGTCTCACTTAACAACAGAAATGTTGGGCTCAGTTGTGGTTTTAAGTCAAGGACTACCTGTAGTATAATGACAAAGTAACATTAAATAACTTTAGTTTAGAACAGTGAATACAAAGAAATATGGGAATTGCCTCTTGTAAGTTATCAACTCCACATGGATTTTACGCACTACATCACAATAATAGTAACTTCTTATAATATGATGGGATTAATAAATGGACATTAGCTTGATCTATGCAAAGTGACAATATTTTCAGTACAAGGAAAAGAAGAGCGCTTTAGATATCTCTGCAAAATGAACACTGAAGAATAATATGTTTGATAGATTAAACTTGCCCAGGTCCATCATCTGGTAAAATGAATAAAATAAAATTAAAATAAATGAATAAAATTAAATTAAAAAGCCCTCAAAGGGCAGACTTCATGGACAGCTTGATCTTTTTCGGTTGTCAGTTTTCTATGTATCTATATATTTCCAGTTTTCAGATATGAGTTGTTTAAAATCTCCCAAGTTTTTTATATTACATTTTTGTAGGGTACTTTTTTTCTACTTTTATTTTATTCAAATATTTTTATTCAAATAAAATAAAACTTCAAATGCAAATACAAAACTTTAATTTTTTTTCTTTCAATTCTTATCTTTTTCCTGGAACTATTTTATAGAATATGCTGTTAGACTTTTATTGTTTGGTAAAAATGTAAATTAGATAAGGTAAAGTATAAGGTTTAATCCTAATTATAACCAGTGCTTTTTTTGTAAAAAAAAAAAAAAAAAAAAAAAAAAAAAAGTGCCGGAACTCACACATGTTATACAACCCGCCTTGCCTACCCTACAAGGTTCCATCCAAAAAAGATGCCGGAATTCCGTTCTGGCCGTTCTATGAGAAAAAAAGCCCTGATTATAGCTATGTATTTAAGATGCTAATTTAACTTCTTCAAGAAGATCTGAGGTATTTGGCTTTTTTTAAATAAAAACTTCTCGATAAGGATATTGTAATTTTGAATAATGAATCAAAGATGATAGGTAATATGTGTGTTCCTCTACAGTTTGTACACCAGTAGGACTTTCCCGTATGTTTACAGTGATGGGACAATTGCTTGTAAAGCCAACAGTAAGTATTGTTAATGTTAAATTGTTATCTAAATATGGACATAGGTCAGGGGTAGGCAACCTTGGCTCTTTTATGACTTGTGTACTTCAACTCCCAGAATTCCTGGCTGGCTCAGGAATTCTGGGAGCTGAAGTCCACGAGTCATAAAAGAGCCAAGGTTGCCTACCCCTGACATAGGTTGTTTGGGCAGTGGTCTCCAACCTTTCTGGGTCCATGGACCTGGAGCAGTGGCGGCAGCAGTGGGGGAGGGGATGGTTTTGCACATGCAACCTAGCTCCCACGTATGCACAAATGAAGCTTCGCATGCTCGCCCAGTTTGGGCAACATACAAAGTGAAATTGCAGATATTATTATAGCAAAGGGTTTTTTTCTTCATTTGTTTTGTTGGATTATTTCAATTTTGAATGAGTATTGTTTAATCAGGGAAGCTTGCAGCTTTAGGCAAATGAACATCAATTCACATTGATCTTGCATATATCCAGGTTTTTTTGGTAAGGACTCTAATTCTCTTTCTCTCTTATTCATAATAAATTATATGCAATCTTCAAATATTTTATCTGATATGGTATCTTTATATCTGAACATAGATTCTTGAAGACTTGGATGAGCAGATATATATTATTACTCTAGAAGAAGAAGCTATAATGAGAAAGTTAAATGGTAAGTATGTTTACTACAACCTGGCTTTTATAGTATTGCATTTAGGTACTATGGAAGTTGTATTCCAGTATTTACAGAGGATGCTAGTTTCAGAAATCCTGAACACCGTATATTTGGTGTAAGTTTGGAGCCAGTTTGGCCTAGTGGGGAAGGTGCTGGCCTAAAAATTAGGGCAATATGAGTTCAAGTCCCACCTTAGCCATGAAAGCCTGTTAGGTGATCTTGGGCCAGTCTCTGTCTCAGCACAACTCACCTCACAGGTTTGTTCTTGTGAGGAAAATAGAAGGAGGAAGGTGTCTTGGATTATGTTGGACATCTTGAGTTACTTATAAAGTAATAAATATGGGATAAAAATACCCCAGGTAAGTAAGTAAGTAAGTAAGTAAGTAAGTAAGTAAGTAAGTAAGTAAGTAAGTAAGAAAGAAAGAAAGAAAGAAAGAAAGAATATTCTTCTTTTCAGCATGCATGTAATGACTGATTGTGACCCAGAAACATTGTACTATGTCATTTCTTTTATAATTAAATATTCCAAAAAAATCATAAACTAATACGAACCGAATAGCAAGTTAACATAACTGAGAAACAAAACTGGTTGTACAGAAATTATAAGTAACACTGGTCATATGTTATTTTTAACTAGGGTTTTTGCAAGTCTTAATGGAAAATAAATGCAATATTGAATCATAACAAATTGTGAAAGGGTTTGTTCTGTAGCTTGCTTATATGTAGTCAAATCATTCAATTTGACTAAGCTAAAAGCAGAATTCTGCAAATGGTAAAAAAAATGATTCATTTTTCATGCATTTTAACATTTGATCCTTTGGTAAAATTTATAATTATTCTGTGGCAACTTTTGGAGGCCCTCTGGAAACCATACTTTGCAACATGATGCCATAGGATATAATATCTATTCTTTATATGTTCTGAGAATTAATATATATATATATATATATATATATATATATATATATATATATATATATATATATATATATATATATATATATATATATATATAAGATCAAACTGTAAACATATCACATATGTTAAATCATACTTTGGCAGAAACTCAGATTTTATTATAAATAAAGGATTGCAGTACCCCTTCCTCTTGAGAAGTAGAAGGAATGTTGGAAGTAATTTTAATAGTTTTCTAGTAGGTAAATTAGAATCCAGTGTAATTCAGTATTACGTTAATAGGAATCAAATTGCAGAATCCTGAATTACAATTAATTGTGTGTTTTAAAATTCTCACTTTTTAAACATAGTATAAAGAATTAGGAAAGTGTGTACTTTTGAACTTCAAATTTCATATAATTTTATTGACACAGGAAGTTTGGAGAAGAAAAAATATCTCGGCAATGGTTAGTCTGCATAAATTGTTTTGTTATTAAAGAAATCGGAGAGAAAATGTGTTTCTTCTGTATTGTATTTTAATACCCACATTATTTGTGCACGAAAAGAATAAAGCTCAAACCTTCTTTATATTGAAAAGGAAAAGTTGCTGTTAGCTATTAGTTTTCCTGAATCCCAGGAGACGGGTGGAGCAGGATCAAAAATACTTATTTGATCAAAGTTATTAGCTCTGAAGGTATTCTAACCTATGTAAGAAAGATGAAAGGTGTTGTTTTTATTGCACACTAGTAACAGTGTAATTTTGAACTAATTGGAGTTGAACTGCCAATCACCTACAGGGAATGCAAATAGATACTCCTACAATTTCCTTTGAGGTACTGAAATATTATGTTGGGACCGAAGAAAAAACAAAATAATACTGTTAAATTGACCTTAAATGAGCTGCTTTGTGGTTTTCTTGGAGAATCCCTTCTAATTTTTCATGACTAGTCTGAACAAGTTCTGTCTACCAATTTGATTTATTGGCCAGACAATGCAGTCATTAAACTTTTGTGCTTGTTTGAAATAAAGTTGAGAGCCCATGGTGCTTTGAATAGCTTGCATTCAATACTTTGCTCCCTCTTCCAGAGATGTGATTTGATTGCTCTAAAATGTTGCTTCCTCCCTTGGAAATTTACCAGGATTAGTTCTATTAATTCTATGCTGCTATCATTTTGGGGTGTGTTGTTGTTGTTGTTGTAAGGTTTTTTTTTAAAATTAAGATGAATATTAAGGATCTGATTCATTTCCCATATAAGTGGTGAATATGTAAATTTAAGGCAGAGGCTCACAATTGAGCATCCAAATATTTGGATATATAAAATAATTAGTTTAGTTACCATAGTGAAAAGTGAATTTTGTTTAAGTTCGTTTGAGATTTCAAGAAAGTCTCAAACTTAAATAGTCAGGATTTTTTAAGCAAAATTCATTTAATTTAAAAAAAAAAACCATGAACCACATCCTCTGGTTGTTTAGAAATGGCTAAATGGCTATCTGAGGGTGTGGCCCAGTTCTTTTTTAAAATTAAATAAATTTTGTTTAAAAAATCCTGACTATTTGTCACCACATATTAAAACCATTTTCTTTAGCCCATCCCTTTGTTTCATCTAAGAAACTGTATTGTAATGGGACTGAAAACTGCCATTAGAGCACAAGATTTATACTTTACAGCAGGGGTAGTCAACCTTGGCACTTTTATGACTCGTGGACTTCAACTCCCAGAATTCCTGAGCCAGCTAAGCTCAGGAATTCTGGGAATTGAAGTCCACGAGTCATAAAAGTGCCAAGGTTGACTACCCCTGCTTTACAGAGACATTTTCCTTACCTTAATCTATTTTTCCTCTTGTAGTTAGCAAAATGGTTGGGTACTACTGATGGAATATTTTAATAGAGGTGATGGTATTTTTGTTTTGGCACAGGAGGATTTTCCGCTGTGGAGTACAATACAAAACAACTTGAGCAGGAGTTGAATAATATGAAGAGCATGAAAACAAAATTGGGTAATTGCCTCATTTTTGGGGTTTTTTGGTATCTACTGTGCTTTATCTTGGAGTAAAACCTCTTTTACTTTTGGAAGTATGAGAAGAAATATTATCTACTGTTCTTACAAAAAATACTTTGGGCATATATTGGATAAATATCCTTTTAGTGTAATACTTAGACATTTCCAGAATGTCAGCCCTTCAAAGTTGACCAGATCTGGAAACAGATTTCGCAAAGAAGACTTTGCTATTAACAAAGTATCACAAATCTGTCTGTGTCTCCTCTTCATAGACTGAGGGAATCAGGAACTTTTTCCCCTCTAATGGCCTCTGGATTCCTTCTCCAAAGATATTTCCATGGCTCTTTACACCGGTACAGGGGTAGGCCACCTTGGCTCTTTTATGACTCGTGGACTTCAACTCCCAGAATTCCTGATCCAGCATGGCTCAGCATGGCAACCCTTCCCTTTCTCCTCAGCATGGCTGGCTCAGGAATTCTGGGAGTTGAAGTCCACGAGTCATAAAAGAGCCAAGGTTGCCTATCCCTGCACTAGTATAATGTTCTTATTTTGAGTTCTGTTTCCTTCTTCTTCTTCTTCTTCTTCCTCTTCTTCTTCTTCTTCTTCTTCTTCTTCTTCTTCTTCTTCTTCTTCTTCTTCTTCTTCTTCTTCTTCTTCTTCTTCTTCTTCTTCTTCTTCTTCTTCTTCTTCTTCTTCTTCTTCTTCTTCTTCTTATTATTATTATTATTATTATTATTATTATTATTATTATTATTATTATTATTATTATTATTATTATTATTATTATATCAGAATCGTTTCTAATAGAAATGGGGAAAGGTAAAGAAGTCCCTGCAGATTTTCCTGCACTAGTCATTGCCAACTGTAGGAGGCATTGATCATTTCCATTTCAAGGCCATTGAGCCAGTGCTGTCTGAAGACATTTTGCGCTCATATGGCCACTATGATGTCATGGAGTGCTGTTACCTTCCCACCCAGGTGGTACCCATTTTATCTATTTGCATTTGCATACTTTGGAACTGCTAGGTTGGAAGCAGCTGGGGCAAGGACATGGGGTCTCAAACTTGGGCTGCTGACCTCTCAGCCGACAAGTCCAGGGTCTTAACCTGAGCCGCCATGCTGTCCATAATAACATCTGTGTAACATCAGATTAAAACTATAGGAAGAACCCTGTCATGGCACATCAAAGAGCTTTGCAAGCTGGCATCCTGTGTCTCATTTTAGGCTGTGGAAAACATTGAGAATGCCACTCACAATCAGGGCAAGGCTGGCATCAGAAGCAGCATGTCTCTAAATTCCAGATTTTCTCCTACAGCCTGGAATTTAGAGACACAATTTATTTATTTATTAAATTTATTTATTTATTATTAAATGCTTCTGATGCTAGTCGTTTCTTAAAAACTTATCTTTCACACATTAATGTATTCCCTCCTTTTAGATATCAGCCACCTCATATTATAATTGGCCCCTACCAAAAGATGTTCTTAATTAACTTTGTATTCTATTCATATTTGTATTAAAGTTTTGTTTAATGTTTATTATTTTTTTTAAAAAAAAAATATTATTAAATTCATTTGGTACCAATCTTACAGTTCGAGGTGACTCAGTTTTTAGCTGATTTTGCAAGGAAGAATTCTTATGAAAAGATACATTAAAAATAAATACTGTTGGCATGTTAGCTTCCTTCATACTGTCCTTCTGCTATTGCTTATCTCCATTTGTAAATAAAATAATTTAAGTCAGATTGGAAGAAATTCAAGGTGTCTTATCTCTTGCTGAAATATTCCATTTCTGATTCCAGTCCAGGGGATCAGATCTTTGAAAGCTGTTCCATTTAAAGTACTCACACTTTTTTTTTAAATTAGTGGAACCTTATTCCACTAATAAGAACTTTATTTTAAAAAAGAACCTTACTCCACTTTGGGAAGCAGATTCGTTTAGAATAATTTATTTAAGCCTTCATTACAGTGCTTTTTAACCTTGGCATCTTTTAAAACATGTGGCTTTCAACTCCCAGAATTCCCCAGCCAGCATGATTGCCTGGGGAATTTTAGGAGTTGAAATCCACGCATCTTAAAAGTTGCCAAGATTGAGAAACATGTCTTTACTACTTATGCTGGGGAGTGGGAAGACTGGTGCTGGCAGGATAGGATGTTTGAGCTGAAAGTACATAAGTAGGCCAATTTGCTCTTGAAGTTTTAGTGGTCCATCTCACAAAATGCTTGGACTACTTTTGGTTGTTTGGCTAAGATTATGGCTACAGAGCTTCTAATTTTAAAAGGATTGTATATATTTGTCTCAAGCCACCGTGACATTTTCTTCTGTTTAAAGAGCGACGGAAAAAGGCTTCTGCCTGGGAAAGGAACCTTGTGTATCCAGCTGTAATGATACTACTGCTAATTGCAACGGTAAGCTCTAATTTCTTTACATTGCTTAAGACCCACTTGGCCTCTTGAAGATAGTAATTTATTGCACACACGTGTCTGAAATGAGGATCATTTAAAAAAAAAAAAGGAATTGCAGGAATTGTCTCCTTCAGGTTTTTTTTGTTAAATCTCAGAAGTGTTCAAGCCATTGCTGCAAAATGGAGCAAACAGTTTTCGCACAAACCTGCACCCACGCTTGGATTTTCTGCTTCTTTTTCAGGCATTGTCAGTGCTCTTAGTTGCTTGCAATATTCTGCGTCTGTTGATTGATGAAACCGCAATGCCAAAGGGATCAAGGGTAAAGTATTTTCCTTTTGCAATATCAACAATGGCAAATTTGATCACACAATCTAGTTTACCACATATTTCCCCAAAGAAATTTACTTCTGAGCGAGCTGATACAGATTTGCGCTCTGAAAACAGTCTTTAAAAGAATTAAACCTGCACATGCAAACACTATTTTAGTGTTGTGGTTAAACTTAGACTAGAAACCAGGTAACTGTGAGTTTTAGGGACAGAAGCCATTTGGGCCACTCTAAACCATTCACTTTCTCAGCCCTGGGAAATAGGCAATAGCCAAACATTCTGTCAAAATCTTGCAGAGAAAATTGCAGAGACTTGCCAAGCAGTTGCCAGAGTCAGGATTGTTGAAAACGAACAAACACAACAGAAATGGAATACAATTAACTACTAAAATCCTGCCACAAATACTTTCCTTTTTTAAGCATTTGTGGCAGGATTCTGGTATCTAATTAGGGGAATTCCTTTTAAAATTTCTCTAGTTCCCTTACAGCATTTTTAATCATCAAATTATTTGAATATTTGTATTTGTTTTGAATCCCCAAAAACCGATATTCTGATATAGCTTCTTTAGGTGAAATCCTGTTTCTAATCCTGAGGCTTGCGGTGATTATTACTGCGTCAATATTAGCTAATAAACAAAATACAAACGATATACAATTGAATTGTCCAAGGCATTCAGTCTTTAAAAAAGTAAGTAAAAGAATGGCATCTTCTGTCTAATACCTTTTTTTTGTTTTTTTAAATTCTTGCAGGGGCCTGGCATAGGAAATGCCTCTCTGTCCACGTTTGGTTTCGTGGGAGCAGCACTTGAGATCATTTTGATTTTGTATCCTTTCTTTCATGAGGCGTGCTTGTCTGTTAACAAGTATTCTGTCTAATTTTCTGGGAGGCTGCTAATTTACTAAGATGCCTGCTTAGTAGAGAGAAGACAATAGGCCAGCTATTCCCAGGCACTCAAAGTGTATGTTCTTTCTCTCTCTTCCCCCTCCTGCTGCATACTTTGCAAGGCTTAAAAGACCTTTAGGACTCTGAAACTTGCATTCTTTAGGAATTCTTTTTTTTTCTTTTTCTTTAATTCTCACAGCTACCTTATGGTTTCCTCTGTTGTTGGCTTTTATAGCCTACGTATTTTTGGAGATTTTACCCCCAGGAAGGATGACACAACTATGACAAAGGTGGGTGAAAAAGCCTGAGATTATGTTTTCTTCTCCCTCTTTTCCCATTTCTTCTACCAAAGCAAACCTGATTCTGCCAGACAGCAATTGCATTCTGAACAGCTATTAGTAGTTTAAACTTTCATCAACAATTTTTTTTTTGCTTATTTGGGGTAGCTTGGAATAAGCTGGAAAAGGCCTGAAATTGCAGAGTTAGGTAGCCATAGAAAATCTGATGTGTCAATCTCCCACGCCCTTTTTTCTAGGATATATGTATGTGTGTGTGTGTGTGCGTGTGTGTGAGAGAGAGAAGGGGGGGCTCTCTTTAGGTTACTACAAATAATATCAATAGATTCTTTTAATTTGAATGAATTAAGAGATTCTGTTCAGCAATTCTCAGTCTGAGGCTGCTTATACAATTGCAACCAACAGTTGCATGCGTGTTAAGAGAGATCTTAAAAATAGGTTTTCATAAATAGGGGAACATTACAAACAAGATGAATAGGAGCCAATTTCTTTTAGGAGTTTCCTCTTATTTTTTTCATTTAAAAAGGCACTCGAAGTGGGCGGGGGAGGGTGAGATTTGCTTTAATCTTTCCAGGAATTCTCAGAAATGGGAAAGTAAACAACCGTACAGAAGACCCTTGATTAAACCAGTTGAGCAGTGCCATTATGTTTTGCTCAGCCCTTTTATACTACAGCATTTTGAAAAAGAGAAATGGTAAGCCACGTATCTTTCAGCTTTTTCAGCTTTTTTGTATTTAAAACTCCTCTTGAAAAGAGGTCTCAGCATTTTCTGTTTCTTCGAAAGAATAATGCTGTACCAGCTCCTGTTTGCTTATTGTAATTCTTTATATCCTTTAAGGTAACATGTTCTTTTACTAGACTCAAGATTGTGCTTTGGAAAACGAGGGCAGTTGATAAATTACTGCCCCAGCTATAGCCGGCACCTCCCTCACTTATTCTCCATCAGTATATTAATACAATGTTCCTTGTATAAGCACCTGCACAATAAGTATACAAAAGCAAATTTGGGTTAGAGGCCAGGTAAGAGTAGCTTTACACTCAGTTTTAAAGACTGGAGCCCTAAGGTTCAATCAGCATCTATGAACACTATTAATTTACACTTGCCTAGCCTGGTTTAGTTTTGAACATGCAAGTAAATGGTTTCAGGCGTGGTGTTTGTATTATGTCTGTTAGACACTGTGCCTGCAGGCAGGAAGTATCTTGTAGTTTAGTTTCAGTGTCTTGCTTGGTGTATTTTAGTTGCTCTATCTCTTGATTTTCATTTGTTCAGAGTTTTATTTTGAATCTGCTTAAAATTTTTAAATGCAACCCTTAGATGTTGCATGACAACAAATAAGCATTTTAAAGAATATAGATTAAGTAGCAAAATTTCAGTTCAGATACTGGCTAAAGATTTAGAAATTGCCTGACTCCAGAATGAATGTAGACCGCTTATGCTTAAAATAGCAAAACAATTTAAAAAATCCATTTAAGTGTCCTGACTCTGCACTGCAGCCAGCCTATCCAGGGCACCATAAATACCTTACCCCAAGACCTGGGAGAAGAGCTAGCTTTTTAAAAACCTTTGAAACTTCATCAGGGTTAGACCTAAATGGTTGGTTTCTGAAAGAACACAATTCCAGAGGGCAAGAGCTATGACAGAGGAGGCAAACTTCTTGGGTCTTTACAGATGGTGGTGTTTAATTGAGTGGATCCAATGTGTGGCCAGTTCTGCCAGCTCTTCTCTGATGGGCAATAATCATGGAGATGAGGAGATCTCTCAAACTACTTGACCTTATGCCACATAGGGCTTTATAGCCAATACCCAGACACTTATTGCCAAATTGAACTGATGTTGCATGGGTATATCAATGCACGCCCATTCATTTTATTGCTGTTTCATTCTGTACAAGGTCTTTATGGGCAGCACCATGTAGATTGGACATTGTAATAGTCCAGTTGTGTGGTGACTAGGATGTAAGCAGCCATCTTACGGAATACATTGAGGAATACAGTGGTACCTAGCTACTTGATTGCCTCAAAACTCATTGACTTTGCTTCTCCATGCATTTTGACATGAAAATGTTGTACCTGTTCTTGGCCTTTGTTTAGCTTGATTAGTTGCTAAGGGAAGAGGGGAGTGGTGTAGGGAATGGACAGGGAGTCAGGCATGCTGGGAAGGTTGCTGCAGATGGAGGGGGATGGCCACGGAGGACAGACAAGAAAGTCACTGACATAGGAAAAGGGACAGACAGAAAGTTCTTCCTGGCTGAAGCAAAGGGTTTTATGGTAAGCCACGTGGTTTGTTTAGGATTTGTCCTTTTTAGTACCCATCACACCTCCCAGAATGAATTAACACCGAATACCAAGGTACCACCAAGGTACTACCGAGTACCAAGGTACCGAGTACCAAGGTACTGTAGATGCAACTGGTGCCCCATATGAAGGTGAGCAAATGCCCTCCTGGTCACAGCTGCCGCTGACTCTTTCACTGTAAGTCCAAGGCTGTGTCATCTCATCCCACTAGGACTAGTCCACCCTACCAATGATGGCAGAGGAGGCATATTGTGGACCCCATCGGCCAGGGAAATCTGGTAGGCTGGGGCCACGCGAGGGGCCTTCTCTGCTGTTGCGACTGCCTTCTGGAACATCTTGCCTCCCCTCTCCCCAGAGTGCGGCCTGCTCCAACCCTCCTGATCTTCCCTGAGGGACTAAATACCCATCTGTTAGCTATTGTTTTTTATATTTTTATATTTTTGTAGTATTTTATTTATATAGTTTTATCTTTTAATATCGTAAGCTGCCCAGAGTTATCTTGTAGTAAGTTGGGCAGCCAATAAATTTGATAAATAAATTAAGATCAAAAGTTTTTATGCTGTTGTGAATTTTTAGAAAATTTGATAAACTTAGTTTTACAATATTATTACCAGAGTGCTGCATAAGCCGGGGGGGTGGGGTGGGGGTGGACAATTTGATGGTGGGCAGAATGAGATAAAGTAAAGTATTGCTTTGTATGCTCCACTTAAAAACATTGCAATTTATATTTGCCAATTAGAAACTTCATTTTAACTAAAATAATATCTTTGTTGTTTCAACAGATAATTGGGAACTGTGTTTCTATCTTAGTCCTCAGTTCAGCGTTGCCAGTTATGTCAAGGACATTGGGTAAGTTTTAAATCGGCCTTTTTACAGAAACCTGAACAAATTTAGACATCCCTTTTACAGAAAGTTCAGCTATACTTTTAGAAAACAAAATACTAATAATGTAGGGGGTACTTAATTATACAATTATGTTGCACTTTGTAAAAAAAAAAGTTTCAGACTCAGTAATTTAAGTATATTAATCTATCACCATGGAATTACAGATATATGGACAATGAAGTTTAAGCTTTCTGATCTTGGCCTTGATAAGTCTGTTGAACTAGTGGCAACTTAGTTTGGCCTTTTGGTTAGCATACTAAAGTATGGGTGGGTGAGCCTGAATGTTAGTTCTGACTTGAGGTACGTGATGACTGAAAGGTTAAGTCGGGTTTGGCAACCAAGTGCTGCGCTACGGGGTGAGCCCCTGTTACTCGGCCCGACTCCTGCCAACTTAGGAGTTTGAAAACATGCAAATGCTAGTAGATAAATAGGTACCACTTTGATGGGAAGATGACTGTGTTCTGTATTTTCATGTTGGTCACATGACAGAATAATCTTTCAGACAACTCAGATTCCCTTGGCTGAGAATCAAAGATAAGCACTGCCCCCTTGAGTGGGTTACAAATGGACAGGGAAAAACTTCAAAATCTTTTAGTCCTCTCTTAGGCATGGAAGTCATTTGTATATGACTTCGGGCCAGTTGGGGAATAAACATTATTGTTACACCTGAATTATGGGTTTGTTTCCCATCAAGGTTTTATGTAAGTGTTTGAGTTAAATTGTTATCTTGTTAAATATTAGCTATGTTGGTGCCCCCTCCCTTATCAAAAGTGAAATCCTACAAATCCATGGAAGTCTTGTTAAGTTTTTAGCAAAATTTATTTTACATTACAATATTTTTTTGTGCAGAGTAAAATATCTGCAATAAAATAGAAAGTAAAAGCATAAGAAAACAGCAGTTGGAAAATAGCAGAGGTTTCTATGCTATAGTTGGAACATATGTTTAGGGGCACTAACAGACAAGACAATATATATATAGGGGATATATTTATATCCCCTAATTCACAATAGAGAAAAATATCTGAGACAGATTTAGTCAACTCCTGGAAAACTCTTTGCTTCTGGAGCTCTCAGCTATTTTTCTTTTACTTCTTCTTTTTTTTTTTATTATTATTATTATTATTATTATTATTATTATTATTATTATTATTATTATTATCATCATCATCATCATCATCATCATCATCATCATCATCATCATCATCATCATCATCATCATCTTTTTTTGTATTCTTCTCTTCACTATATATTTGATTTTCCTTTCTTGTTGTTGTGGTTCTCCATGATCTCTGGAGACCAAGACATCTCTCCCTCTCCCAGTATGTCATTGGAACAATTTTTAATTGTACCATTCTCAGCAGTTCTTCTTGTTCATCTCAAGGAATCATCTTCAGTGGTTGTTCTGGAGGTAACAGGCACTCCTCATCCTCTTCTGTTGGGTAATGGAATTGTTGCACATCTTTGAGGGGAACTAAGGGACATGTGGGTTGTATTGTTTGGAAGAATAGATCCAAGACACCATTTTTCTTTCTTCTGAACCTCAGTAGGGGATTTTTATTGATGGCTAAAAAAGGTCGTTTTTACCAAGCTTCCTCCCTTCAATTCGAGTGCTTCTTTGCTTCCTCCCTCAAGCCCTAGAATTGACTTGAAGATAAACATTTGAGGAAAATGCCATCTTGTCCAATCTCTTTGGAATTTCCCAGCAAGGGCTGCCCTCATAAAGTTTCTGGGGCAAAAGCGCTTATGCTTATCCTGAATCCAGAGCCTTAAAGAGAAGGGAACACCATTAGAGTAGACCATAATCCACTTCTTAGTAAGAGAAAAATGTGGGATAGACAGTACCGCCACCAGATGGATTCATAACTGGCTGTTCAAGCGCACTCAACATGTAGTCCTCGATGGAATTACATCTACATGGAGGGAAACATGCAGTGGTGTATCTCCAGTTTCTGTTTTAGGTCTAGTACTCTTCAACGTCTTCATGATTTAGATCAGACATGTCAAACTCGCGACGTCATGTGACATCATGCAACGTATCGGGCCGGCTTTGCCATTGCCGGCAATGGGGTGGGCGTGGCTTCTGGATGACGTGTCCGGCCCGCGGGCTGGCAGTTTGACACCCCTGATTTAGATGAAGGGATAGAAGAGGAACACATCGAATTTGTAGACAACATCAAGCTGAAGGGAATAGCTAACATTTCAGATGATAGGCTCAAGATCTAGAAGGATCATGACAGACTTGAACACTGGGCCATATCTAACAAAATGCAATTCAGAGGTGAGAAAATTAAGGTTTTATACTTAGTCAAGAAAAACTAAAGGCCACAGGTATAGAATAGGAGAAGTGTGGTCTTACCAAAGCAGTATAAAGTGGTACTAACACTTCACATGACCTTTTATTATTCCTCTACTGATGCAGCCTAGCCTGAATTGGCTTTTTTGGCAGCTGCAGCATACTGCTGGCTCATATGTAAGTGGTTGTCCATTAGGACTCCTAGATCAACAATAGTAATTGTGAAAGGGATCAGCCTCACATGGGTGTGGATGTGTGTGTCAACCTATTCTCCAAAGCATCTGAGAGCAGGACAAGAAGTAACTGATGGAACCTTATCAAGGAGAGAATCAATTAGAACAAAGGAGAAATTCCCTACAGAATGATTAATCAGTGAAACGGTTTACCTTCAGATGTTGTGGGTGTTGCAACACTAGAGGTTTTTAAGAAGAGATTGGACAGCCATTTGCCTAGAATGTGTAGGGCAAAGGGCTAGTGGCTTATATTTATGAGATTGTCTGGTACATCTTTGGCCACTGGAGGAGAAAGAAGGAAATCTTGCCTTATGTTATGTCAGTTTCTCGAATATTACACTTTTTGCAAGTAAATTTCAAACAGGCTGAAATCCAATACATTAAATACCTCCTAGACTCATTGCTGGTTTCCATCCAATTTGGACTAACCATTCAAAGAGCAATCAGATTTTTATCTCAAGAGAATTAAGGTCTGGGATAATTATTGGGTGTCCTATACATGGTGGCATCTTGGTGCTCAGTCTCTTCCTTGATCAGTTTAAGCTTTTAGTACCTGATCAAGGAAGAGACTGAGCACCAAGATGCCACCATGTATAGGACACCCAATAAGCATTCATAAAAAGGCAGCTGTGACTTCTGTGCTCTTAGGAGGTGCAGGCTTTGTAGCAGTGGCTATGTAAATTTTTATTCACCAATAGCCAACAGTGGCTTGCCAGGAGTACATGAGGAGATAATAATTATCCCAGACCTTAATTCTCTTGAGATAAAAATCATCTCTTGTCTTTCACATCTGCATCACTTCTCAGTCCCTAAACTGGTTGAAAGGGTCCTCTCTTGCGCCACCTAGGGACCGCAAAAGAAAATTCTTGGTCTTGCCTGCCAGCGGAGTGGATAGAGCAATCTCTGATCTGTCAGCAAAGAGCTTCCTTTTTTTCTTTTTTTTCCCGGAGCTCATTGATAATTCCTTTATAAATCTAGATACAGATTCAGCACTTCTATTCTTGACCCAGGTCAAGTGGAAAAGGCTGGTGAAGTTGAATCTGTATTGTAAATCCGTCTCACTTGGTGGCTTGTATAGAAACTAAAATGCTTAGAAGGTCTTGTGTGCAGAATGCCACAGAACTATGCAACATTTCTAAAACTTGTCTCTAAAGTTAAAAGAGCTATTGGATTACACTGTCCCAATTTCCCAACTTGGACAGCCTATCCAGAAAGCTGTTGTGATCAAAACGATTGAAAACCGCATAGAGGTCTAGCAGAATTAATGGGATCCTTATGGTCAAAGGGCCAAAGGAACCAAAGCTAGTTTGGCAACCAAAATATTAAAACTTGTCCTGAAATCACTTTTAGTGATGCAGTGGCTAGTTCTGCGTTATCAGTTAGAGCAGGGGTGACAAACTGCTGGCCCGCGGGCTGATTGCATCATACGGATGCCACACCCACCCCAGCTCCAGCAATGCAAAAAAGTCACGTGATGCGGTGATTTGACACCCGTGAGTTAGAGGTTTCAAAACCTCATCATCTCCTTGAAGTTCCTAAGTAGAACCTGCTGAAAAAGTATTTTCTCTTAGCCATATTATCTCTTCACTCTGATTAACAATAGTTCCAATTCTTGAGCTACAGTGATCTCTTCTACACATTATGTGTAATCAGGTTAAATTATAAATTAGGTTAGTGGAATATTTGCTTGGGATAGATAAACTGATCTGTAGTCAGTTTCTGAATTTCACAGATTGTGTTGGTGCTTGATAAGCTAATTAATGTATAGTCTGAGCTTCTTTATTTTATTTGGCCTTTTAAGCATTATGACTGAAGAGAGCTTTGTCACTTCTCTTCACCTATCACTTCCATCACTCCATGGATGGAATGTTGGTTAAGTGTCATCCTTTCAGAACTTGACTTTAAATTGTTGAAAGTTTTTCTAGAATTTTTCCTAGTTGGAAAATGCAAACGTAAGCAAACATTTCTCAGATAACCCTAGTTTAATAGCTACAAATTTTTCAGCATGATCAGTGGGAATTCTATTCAGTGGGATCACATTAGGTTGTCTTAGGTATGGTTATTTCCAGTAATTCTTTTAATAAGTACAACTCTCATGCAATTTAATGGTACAAAACATTCATTCGTTTGTTTGTTTGTTTGTTTATTTATTTGATGCTAGGTGCATTTGTTGCTTTACCCAAGACAAAATACCTACCTTTTTTTTGAGTCTGTAAATGTACGTTTGCTTTAAAGTTATAAAGAGGAGTAAACCAGGAATGACGAATAGTTAAAGGAGAATTAACGAAGTACATAGACACAACAAATAAAATTAGTAACCATGATAGAGTACAATGGGTCATGTGAGGCTTTGCAGAACAGTCAGTATGTATCAAAATAGCTGGTTTGGTCTAGTCAGCAGGAGTAGGCAACCTTGGCTCTTTTATGACTTGTGGACTTCAACTCCCAGAATTCCTGAGCCAGCCATGCTAGCCCAGGAATTCTGGGAGTTGAAGTCCACGAGTCATAAAAGAGCCAAGGTTGCCTACCCCACAAACTTTGTGAGATCTAGTCCTGCCTTAAGCATGAAAGTTGGCTGGGTGACTTTGGACCAGTCATTCTCTCTCAGACCAACTTACCTCAGAGGGTTGTTGTTGTTGTGAAGAAAATATAAAGAAGGAGTATTGGGCATGTTTGCCACATTGAATTATGTCCAGTAACACTGATTAGATGAAAAGAAATCGAACAGATTCATAAACAGAAGCTTTAGTCTTAAAATAGTTTATTTCAGGATGGTAAAAGGAGTATTGAGCTGTTCTTAGGAGGGGAAAGGTAAATGGGAAAGAAAATTTCCCTTTTATCAAACTACTTTTCATTTATTTCAATGCAGAATTAATGTTTGTAAACATTATTGTATCAAAGACTTGAAAAGATGATATAGTATTTTCATCTTTAATAGTTTTGGAAGATAATTTGTTATGCAGATTATCAATATTTTCCTTTATGATCTTGCTTGGCATGGAGGATTATATCATTCAATTTTATCAAATAAATAAAATATCATTGCTGTGATATTGGTTTTTTTCTAATATAGTAGACAATATCTTTGAAGTGTAATTTAAAATAGTGATGAACAGGAAAAATTAGAGAGTATAAATATCTGGGTTTTAAATTTGTTTTATCAAATTTTATGTGAAGAGATATATGCAGTGTATTAGATTGTTTTAAAATTCCTAAGTATCTGTACAAACTTTATTAATATATTCTCCCCTCACCCTTTATTAGGCATCACCAGGTTTGATCTCCTTGGGGACTTTGGAAGGTTTAACTGGTTAGGAAACTTCTACATAGTGTTGAGCTACAATCTTCTTTTTGCTGTCATGACAACTCTGTGCCTGGTGAGAAAGTTCACCTCTGCAGTTAGAGAAGAACTCCTCAAAGCATTAGGTAACCCACTTTCTCTTCCTTTTATGACGGTATTTTTTAATATTTATACACTTGATATTGTGCTAGAGATTGCTGACGTGGCTGTGCTAGGGCAGGGATAGGCAACCTTGGCTCTTTTATGACTTGTGGATTTCAACTCCCAGAATTCTTGAGCCAGCATGGCTGGCTCAGGAATTCCGAGAATTGAAGTCCACGAGTCATAAAAGAGCCAAGGTTGCCTACCCCTGTGCTAGGGAGAATGATTCATTATTAAGTGCTTTTCTGTTCCTTTTCTAAAGCTTGATTTCAGAACTGCTAACTGCTGCTCTGCCTACTTGATAGGGAAATTCATGACATACATGCCAGTTGCCAAGCTCCTGAATTTTGATCCCGCGACCCTGGGGATGCTGCAACGGTCATAAGCGTGAAAAATGGTCATAAGTCACTTTTTTCAGTACTGTCCTAAATTTGATTGGTCACTAAACAAATGGTTGTAAGTCAAAAACTACCTGTACTCATTTTTATATTCAATCTGCTATATTCACTACCCTCTTCATTCTTCATCTATTGCTTCTTTTTCCACCCTGTAGCTCATTCCCATTGAATTCTGATTGAAGTTGCCTTCACATGCAGGTCTCACTTCCACATACATTTATTAGTAAGTTATTAATATTTAACAGGGTTTAATCATCCTTGCCCCTTTTAAATTCTATTTTTTTAAATTCTATTTTTTAAATTCTTACATGCTGTTTTATATTTTAACATTTTTATTGTACACCAACCAGAGTCCCTGTCTGAGGGGAGATTCCCACTCATCCTTTCAGTCCACCTAATAAAACAATCCCTTTCCAATCCCAGCTGCATTCATTTAGACCAGGGGTGTCAAACTGCCGGCCTGCGGGTTGGACGCGTCACGTGGAAGCTGCGCCCACCCCATTGCCGGCAATGGCAAAACAGTCCCAATAACGTTGCACGGTGTCACGTGACGTCACGAGTTTAACATGTCTGATTTAGACAGTTGCAGTTTATCCCAAAACACATTTCTGGTTCTTTTACCAATACTACTCACCCTCATCCAGTCACCCACCTATGGACTTCATGCACTCTTACAGCAATCTAGATAATCCCATTTCATACTTTGAGATGCATTTTAGCTCTCTCATTTATAATTAACAGAAAAACAGAGTTGGAAGGGACCTTCGAGGTGTTCTAGTCCATCCCCCTTCTTCAAGCAGGAAACCCTATACATCAGAGGTCCCCAACCTTTTGGGGACCACGGACCGGTTCCGTGGAGAGAGGTTTTCCCACATATCGGAGGGGGCGTGGTTTTGTGTGCTGCCTGCATCCCGCGGATGGGGCTCTGCTTGTTTGTGCGGCCCGGTTGTTGGCATGCTGTGACCCAGTACCAGTCCACGGACCAGGACTTGGGGAGCCCTGCTATACATCTTACACTTCCTTCCCTTCACATATTTTTAATTCAACTTAATTCTGATAATTCATCTTACACTTCCTTCCCTGCATATATTTATTAACTCTTCACAAAAGATCAGAAGAACGAAACATAAACTTTACTGTGTTTTTTTCTGCGTTTTGCAGGTTTAGATAAACTGCATCTCTCGCACAGGGCAAGAGACCCCGAGACAACAAAACCTTCTGCAAATGGACATCAGAAAACACTGTGAATCAGTTGGCGGAAATGAGCCTTTCAGCTTCCTGACATTCCTCTCAGCTCACTGTTCTTGATTTCTACTGCTCTTACTGGTTTATACCTTGGATTCAGGTTGATGCAGAAGAAATCTGGTGGCACTGGATTCTACTCTTCCTCCTTGGATCGATCCACTTTATTTTTTCTGTCAACTGGAGACGTCTCTTGGACATTCCTCTTTGAACAGGCCTTCATACTGATCTCTGAATCCAAGGATAAAAATCTTCTGCATGTAAATACATTGTTGAAGATGAATTTGGGAGATGAACTTGCTATCTGAAAATGGCAAACCTCTACTCAAGATGTTAGATTTTTTTTTCCAGTAAGATGCATTCTGAAAACTTGTGAGAGCACAATAAGGCTCAGGATCAATACATTAATCTACCCATCAAATCAGTTTGCACTATGATTGTATCTAAGATAACAGTTCTTAGTTCTAAAGGGTAAACTGCCCCATTTTTTTTGCTAGGGATAATTTCCTTTGCAAACCCTGATTATGCAATAACATAATCTCACAACTGCAGTGCTAAATCTGAGCCTGGGAAACTAATTGTAGATTTCTGATCATTGTATGTATAATCATACCTAAAACATGATTGTCATACTTGGCTAAACAATATGAGCAAAAATGTGTGTAAAATATACATATGTATAACTCTGAGAAGAAAACAATTGCACCCAATTTTCACAAAGCTGTCTTTAAATGATGCCCATTCCTACGACTGATAAGTGTATTTTATTTTGCTGAACAAGGTATTTTTTTCATTAATTCTTTTAGTAGTTCATATGTGTACCTATGTCTACTTTTTATGAACACAGAATTGAGCTAGCATTTACTTAGTTTATAATATGAAAATTTAAGATTCTTGTTCAGGGTTTTAGATATGGTATAGTTGAGACAGCATGTACTTGGATGTTGCTACACTGTTGAAGTTTACAAAATCCTGTGAAGTTGTAAAAAGGCAGAAGGAAGTTAAGCTGCATTTGTTTAGTAATGTACTGTGAGTAGAGGCAGGTAGATGGTAAACACCATTATGATGACTTGTTCCAATGGAGTGATCTTACTTCCTGTATAATCATTTGATCAAGGTTAGTTTATTGGGACTTTGTAACTTCAAGTATTTCTCTTTGTGGAAAATCTGTTGCTGTTAATCTGTTACTGTTAACCTCTACAAATATCTGTAAATCCAAAGTCTCAAAATAGTCTCAACACATTACACAGTGTCCAGATATTTAATTCAGGTGTTTTGGATTATGATGTTGCTAATTTCATAGGATTCATAAACATGTTTTATATTGAGTATGGCGTTCTTGGACATCGACAAAAACTTGTTTCTTAACTTTTGTACTGTTTCTTCTATTAATGAATTTTGCATTATTTGGGATGTAAGAATTGTAGCAAATATATAATAAGGATTTTTTTCTAGCATAACCAATAGTAGTGTGGAATAACATACTCAAAAAGGAGATTCTAAGAATTTGCAATGAATTGCAGTGGATTATTCGCTACAGTGAATGCTATAGCAAAATTAGCTCACTGACATGATTTCAAATATTGAAGTATCACAAGTTGAAATGGTAATCACTTTTAGGTCAGTTTTGCTTCCTTTTCATGATAACATAATTCAAATATATTGTTAAATATGAGCTACTGTGATAAATTAATATTTTATCTAAGTAAGCTGAATTCTTGGAAATCCTGGTTTAGGGCAACATTCATGAAAATATGCTAAATTTAGTCATGGGTGTGATTTAGGATTTTGTTTCCTTGTGAATTTATGTCTAGATTAGGGGTAGGCACCCTTGGCTCTTTTATGACTCGTGGACTTCCAACTCCCAGAATTCCTGAGCCAGCATTTCCCTTTCCCCTCAGCATGGCTGGCTCAGGAATTCTGGGAGTTGAAGTCCATGAGTCATAAAAGAGCCAAGGTTGCCTACCCCTGGTCTAGATGAAGAACAGTTAAAACTGAACTTTCAATTTTCAGCAAGTTCTAAACTAATTTTTAACAACACATAAACAACAATCATAATTCTCAAGGGAAGAAGCATCTCCTACATGGGCACTGATTAAAGGCTTAATCCATTGCAATTCCTTTGAGTACAAATCCCCATTAAAATAAGGGCATATGCTGGAAAGTAAATACTTCTTTAGTTATTTTGAATTAGTTTATATTAATGATACTTAAATTGAGATTCCCCTTTTAAAAAATATTTTACTATTGAAAATTTAAACTACTTGGATGTTTTGTAATCAGTTCAATTTTTCATCCCATGTATTGACATGCATTTGAGTATTCTGTCTTTGCCTTAGAAACATTTCACATCTTAATCTGGTTCTAGTGCAAGCATCACACCTGTTTTGAAGTATAGAAAGACTGCATAGAATCTCATTTTTAAAATGCTGCTCATCTTTTATCCTCATACACAAATTTATGATAATGTTGTTTTGAAAATGGATGTTAGATGAGTGGCGTCAGAAAGATACATATCTTTGAGCTCCTCTGTTTCTTGGCTTTGTCTCTGTGAAATGACCTATTGTAGACTACTTTGGAAATGATGTTTTTACTTGCCACTATGTTTAAAAAAAAATCACTTCGAAATATTTTATAAAGTCAAAAAAGACATATTTTGATTCATAATTCATTGAATATAGGTAATGCATTCCTAGCTGTTTGATTCTTAGAGTTAAGTACTCTGTACTTCTTGAGGTATAACAAAGCTTATCTTCAGGTATCAACCTTTGCCTCATTTATTATGGGGCTTAAGCACAAATATGCTTTCCTTAAATGTACTAGGCATCTATCAAAGCAGAGCAAAAATGTGCAAAGCAAGTGTTTCAAGTAGGCTTTTGTTTGGCTTTCTCCATGATAGGTTGATAATACAGTGTGGACATATTATGACAGATCTGCTGTGTTATGACTTGAGCACATCTTTGCTATTCACCTTTTAAAGCTAAGCTTAAGTGGACATAGGTTAATTCAGAAGTACAGATTACTAGGACGTTGGGTTAGCTGAATGTAATGTGGTGACCCTCACCCTTTTTTATTCACACTTATACACGTTTGCCTGTTTAGTGATGATTAAAGTATTTGACAAGACTTTCTTCTATGACTTGATTCTAAGGAGTTTTATTGAAAACAAATTTTATAATTGCATACGGTGGTATAAAGCTTGGAGTATGCATCACGTCTGCTTACTTAACAAAGCGTGTTGCTTCCATATCCCAATTGAGAGGTATTTTACTTATATCAAAACAGCATTTTTCTTTGCTGATCCACAGTACTTGATAATGCTCTTCAAAGAAACGTGGATTATTGGTTTTGAAAAATATGTATCTTTTTGCATAAGCGAGGTCTCTGGGTACATTAACAATGTCCCTAAAATCTTATCATTTCTAAAACTCTTTTATTTAAATTAGAGATAGGTAATAGTGTACAGTCACAAGGTCATATGCATCTCTTATCTAATTTCCCCAAGTTTAATAAATACATTTTTCTACAATCAACCTGGGCCTCAGGAAACAGTAATCTATCTCCTTTCGCTGACACAGAAGAATGTGGGGTGGGGAGGAGATATAATAGTGTGCAGAAAAGCAGATAGCAAAGAGAGAAAAGGGTTCTTAGGGGGAAAAATAGGCAATCCCATTCAGCTTCAGCTTCATTCACCAGTGGCATGCAGCTTCTAACAGATTATCCTCAAGCCCCTGATCAAAGAAAGCATATTGCCTATCTCAGGCATAAATGGACTGAACAAAGCCCATGTGAGAACAGGGGGTACCCCTTTGTTATTAAAACATTTTGTGAGGAGAGTTCTTGAGCTGTACTAATGCAATTCTTGCCTTAGCCTGAACAAGTATCAGGATTATAGAATCTTGCAAGTATTGTCAAAAAAAAAAAAAAAGATGAGCTCCAGGCAAAGCATCTCCACCCCAAAAAAGTTAGTGGTTTCTTCAGTTAATTAATTCTACCCTCATCTCTTGAAATATGATCTCACTGTTCTCCCATTAGATAGGTCTACAAGAATTTACAAAAAAAAAAAAAGCATTTCCTGAGATTGTCCAGGAGGAGAGTCCAAATCTTTCACTTCCAAAATCAGTTGATTTGCACATCGACAGCTATGTTCTTTGGCCGTTGCATAGAATTAAGAGGAACACCTCACTTCCTAAAACAATGCATTAAAATGTACAGCGAGCAGAGCGGGGAACAATACAGTCAAGAACTTTACAGGAAAATCTCATCTCTGGCTTGTGGAGACACATTCTACATGTATATCTACATGTATCTAGATGAGGAACATTGGTCTACCCAATCATGATTTCCCGCCAGGAAACTTGCTAGAATTACAAACCTCTGTAAAACATTATACAATGCAGCAATTATTCTTTCTGTTGCCTTTTGGCTAATAGATACATACAGAATCCTAGTTTTGATGGATAGAAGCCTGACAGACTGGGAATATTAGATGTTCAGCCTACAGAATTTTATGAAGAATTGTTTGATTCAGTTGATTCAGGTTTCCCCAGGTATGTGGAGCTTTCCTCTCTTTCTGACAATCCACTAGGATCTGTGGGACTGTCCCTGCATGCAAATATTCGGCTGAAGTGACACAGAAAACTTGAATCCTACCCCAGACCTTAATGACTGGAATATCTCTAGTGATAACACTTCCTAGGTTTACACACACACATGCACTCATCAGAAAAAAATAATTTGTGTATCCCCTTCCGCTGAAATGCAATTAAAATACTAGGTCTCTTAACAAATATATTCATAATTTATGTTAAAATCGTTAGCTGAGAATTTTCTTCTGATAACAGGAACGGCATAAAGGACAGATTGGTCTTTCTCCTAAAGAAAACTCTTCAAATGCTTGAAGACAGGTGCTATGGAACATGTGAGAACAGGAGAGCAGCGATGTCTGACGGGGACATGACTGATAGCCATCCTGGGAAAGTCCATTCTGAAGTTGAGCAGGCTGTGTGAGTGGCATAATGCAAATAGGACAATCGGCAATATCTTGTCGGAATGCCTGAAACAAAGGTTGGCAAGGTCAGAGAATACAGTGCCTGGCCATCAAAGCTGCTTCCAGGAATTTATTACGTCTTTTATACGTTGGGACGATTTATTCTGGTTATAGTAATAAAAATGCTTTGTTTGTTCAAAAACTAAAAAAAATATTTTAAATACAGATACAGTTTTACAGTTTACAGTTTTAATTCTTGGATATTAAAATACTGATGCTGAACAGCAAAAATAAACAGCAAGTAAGGTAAAATCACATCTGTGCTGCTAATGCTAAATTGGAGAATTTGGCAAGAATCAACAACTGTCTTTGTTAAGTGAGCAAAATACCCAGCATTATATACAAATGTGGTTTAATGAAAGGAACGGTAGAATCAGAAACACAGTGTTGGTCTAACTCCAGATTCAGCCACAAATTTACGTTAGTGACCGTTTGTGGCTCCTCAGACTATAGATTCGTTGTAAGAGCAAAGTAGGCCTGAACCATGTCAAAGTACAGATAGTTCTTGCTTACCAAATGCTCATTCAGCAGTTGTTCAAAGTTACTGTGGTGCTAGTCTTGCAATCAGTCCTGGAAATTGTGGGCATAACTATCTCTAGTCATGTGATCACAATTTGGAACTTTGGCAACAGATGCACATTTTTGTTGTTTGGAGCATCCCATGGATACATGATCATGATTTGCACCCTCCACGGCCACTTCCAACAAGCAAAGCCAGTGCAGAAGCTGGCAGGAAGTTGCAAGTTGTAGCCATGTGACATTGTACTTAACAACCACGGCTAGAATCGACATAAGATGATGTGATCACATAACATTTTACTTAGTGCTCTCTGAGCTTGGTTATTTGCTTACTCAGAAACCAACCTGAATCTGAATTTTTTCCCACTCAACTTCATGTATCTCTGGGCCCAACTTTTCTTCTAGTTGCTGAAATACTTCGTGACTTGCAGCTACAGTGGAATCTATCTCACAGAAGAATTCGTCAATACAGGTATCGTAGGAATTCAGTAATCGCTGGCAGATCTCAGTAAGCTGGAAGATGAGAAAAACATTTTTATTATTAATGAGTTAAGAATGGAGAGAGAGGGGGGGGGTGTCCATGTAGCATTTTATCAAAATAAATCTCTTTTGTAGGATGTTAAAAAACATTGTGGCTCAATTGAAGAATAAATCTAATAACCCTATCTCTTTTTGAAAGTCACTAGAACGGCGGGAAAGAAAATTATTTTTTGCATCTGCTGTTAGAGATTGTAAAGCAAGATGCTGGAAAACAGTATGATGATTGCTTTCATTTTCTGCATCAAACCTAGGGGAACAATAGTACAATGAAACAAATAACCCTTTTCAAAGTTCTAATAGTAATAGTAATAAAGTTGGAAGGGACCTTGGAGGTCATCGAGTCCAACCCCCTGCTCAGGCAGGAAACCCTACACCATTTCGGACAGATGGCTGTCCAGTCTTTTCTTAAAAATTTCCGGTATTAATAGCTTAACAAGTGGAGCTCTGCAACAGATTATAGTTCATGCTTTTTTATTCTAAAATATCACTCTTATTTGCCGGGTAGTGAAGGACACATTCGGGGCACTTGATGCAGGTGGCTTCAATACTCATTTCTCCACCGTATTCTTTCCCCCCAAGTATCTTCAGGCCTATTGAACTGGCTCACTATTTTTTTGGCCTACAGGTAGTCCTCGACTTATGACCACAATTGAGTCATAAGTTGCTAAGTGAGGTATTTATTAAGTTGAGTTTTGCCCCATTTTACGACCTTTCTTGTCACGGTTGTTAAGAGATTCTAAGAATTTGCAATGAATTGCAGTGGATTATTCGCTACAGTGAAATCTATAGCAAAATTAGCTCACTGACATGATTTGCTTATCAGGTTACAAAAGGTGATCACGTGATCCCGGGACACTGCAACCATCAGAAATATGAGTCAGTTGTCAAGCATCCAAATTTTGATCATGTGACCACGAGGATACTGCAATGGCTGTAAGTGTGAAAAATGGTCATAAGTCACTTTTTCCAGTGCCATTGGAAATGAATGTTGTAAGCTGAAGACGATCTGTATTTTGGTTCCCATTCTACATTTTGGATTTTGAGAGTGGACACAGAAATCAAGCTACATCGTTTGCTTGACTATTTTACTGGAACTCACTAAAACCTGTACTGATTTCAGTGGCTCCATTCTGAGAATAAAATCTAATTCAATCAGATATAATAGGCTTTTCTTCATTTTGGGTGTTTTTGTTTAATCCTCTCTCTTTCATTTCTGGTTATTCCATTCCACATTTCTTCCTCAGCTCTTGTCAATTTCCCCCTGCAGGCTTGGTCACATGAAGGCAGAGGTTTTGTGAGGTTGTTTCAAAATGCACTTTCTAGGGTTTAATTCTAAGCATATTTTCAATATCTGGAAATATTGTGGTTTTCTTGAGTCTCCTACATATTTTCTGTGTGCTAGATTAGCACAGAAGTACTGAATTGGGATTAAAATAAATAAATTGTGTTGGATTCCTAAATATCTCGCATGAACACAAAGATAATACTGATCATACACTGTGCCCATCTATTCAGTTGGCTGATTCCTACTCTTTGTCCTACAGGGTTGAATCCTTGGAATACATGGAAATGAGACTGAAATCTGCAGCATGAAAAGAATGCCAACTCCATTTTTTTGATCCATCAAATTATTCAAAATTATTACCAAGTATCTCAAAAGTAAGATCATTTTTAATTGCCTGGTTTAAGATAAATCATTTCACTTAAATGGTATAGATCAGGGGTCCCCAACCTCCGGTCCGTGGACCAGTACCGGGCTGCAGCATGCCAGCAACTGGTCCGCACAAACAAAGCCCTGTCCGCAAGATGCAGGCAGCACACAAAACCACGCACTCTCCGGTCCTGGAAAAACCTCTATCCATGGAACCGGTCCCTGGTGCCCAAAAGGTTGGGGACCTCTGGTATGGATTACATGTAAACAGCACAGCATGTACTATGCAGCTCTACAGATTCCATAAATACTAAGTGCAGCTATGGGCATTCTTCTCCAAAAAAAGAATGTGTAGCATGTTACATAATTTAAATTTAGAGATTAAACAATTTAAAAAGTCATAAAGTTGAATCTGTAAGAGCTCAGCACAACTTTAACAGAACTTTCTTTAATGAGGACTCTTTATCGAATTAATTACATTATCTCTTTAAGATAAGTTGCTAGAATTGCAGCTATGTGGTTTTGTTTATTTCCATGTGGATAAATTAAAAGTATTGATGACTAGGTCCACAAGTTTAGTTTGGTACACAAAACTGCCATATTTATGAATGTTAATCAATTTATATATATATATATGGATTACATAAAATGAAGGATGAAGTATGTAGGTTTTCAGATTTAACGGGTTGCCAAGAAAAAGAATTCTTGAGAATGCATGCATTAATCCACTTCCCCTATATAACCTTTTAAAAAGAAAAATACGAAAAAGATTTTACATTGAATGTTGGATTGTTTGCTGCAGTCCCAGTTATTCTGCTATTTCTTATTTTCCCAAGATTTCTTGTGAGGGTTGTTAAAGATGGAATCCAGCATGCAAAGTATTTCACTGCAACTGACCTTCCTTAATCAGGGAACAAATGTATGCATGCACACATACATACAAATACTCACTCATAGACAATGCACGCTGGAACCACGTGCAGTAGTTTTTCTACTTGATATTGTGGAGTCCTTGGTACTCTGAGAGGTCGGTTGCTTATGCAGATACTTTTATGACCCATCTAGGTAACATCAGTGTGCCCAGTTCAATCCTGAGCTGTGTGCATTCTCTTTTACTGTAAACACAGGATTGTTCAGCTTCAGCTATAAATTTTAAGCCACAAACCAAATTAATCATATCATGGTTTAGTGCAGTGATGGCAAACCTTTTAGAGACCGAGTGCCCAAACTGCAACCCAAAACCCACTTATTTATTGCTGGGTGCCAGGTGGGTGTGGCCCACTGAGTGGGCGTGGCTGTGCTGGTCATGGCAGACTGGGTGGGTGTGGCCAAGGTGGGCATGGTCACCTCGATGTTGCTCGTGGGGAGGAATGCCTGTGGGGGCCGGGCAGGGTTGGGGGAGATCCAGGGAGTCTCTGGCAAGTGGGGTGGTGGATAGGAGGCTCGTCCTGCGGGGTGAGGCGAGGCAAGGTGGGGGTGCCATTATCTCAGGGCAAGGCAAGGCAGGGGCTGTGGCAGCTGCTACCTGACACCATCGGCCCCGCACACAGAGGCCAGCGAGCACATGGGGGCCAACAGTGTCCATCAGTAGCCACAGCCTGCCGGCCCCTTGACTGGTGCACTCTGGGGCTCCGCAGCCCACCACCAGCAGTTCAGAGAAGTGCCCACAGAGAGGGCTCCAAGTGCCACCTCTGGCATGCGTGCCATAGGTCGCCACCACTGATTTAGTGCATTGTGAGAATTGGGTCATTATATGCCAATATCACCCCAATAAAGCCTTGGTTGGTTTTGATGTGCGTAGTATACTTTGCAGGCACTCAAAAAAGGAATGCAGCTTCAATGCTCTGCCGTGCCCACTGTTTCGAAACCATTGTTTCTGTACTGAATATTTTCTTAGCATCCCTTTCAAATATCTGCACATTGTGTATTTATCAACAATGAGCAGTACAATGACCTCAATCTCCTCTTGTGACAAACTTGTTTGATTCAAAAAGGTCTCAACTAATTGTTGTGATGGGTATGTTTTTCTGATTTGGTCGTAAGCTCTTGATGGAAGCTGGGATATAAATGGAAGATACTTATTCTGATCAAGGAGTATCACAAAAATTCATTTAATTTGGAGCTTGCATACCAAACTTGGCTGGGGTCCTGCATTTCATTTCCCCCCCTCCCAAGTTTTGCAATCTCACATAGTTGTGATAAATTCTTTGGGAAAGTTTTGGTTTCTATTGGAACTATTTGGTATTAATATCTGACTTACTTGGATAGCATAGACTATACAATTTTCCCTCTTCCAAAGCTATTTCTTTGTCGGGGAAACACCCCAGAGTTCTTTCATGATTTTTATTATTGTTTATCATTTCGGTGCGCTACTGAATTATGTGTGCTCTGATCTACTGATATTGTATCTTGCAGCAGCTGTAGGATGTCTTATGTTTAAAGTAGAGCAACTAGTAGGGCAACATTCTCGTTTCTTTTTTATTTTTCAGGTAAGATAAAGAAACGGGGACATTTGCAGAAAGCAAGGCTAGAGTAATCTTTAATTTTTTCTCTTCTGACTTGTTTTTTTTTGCTTAAATTCTAGACATGGATGTATGTTGTATAGCTATGAATAAGCACAAAATGCTTTTTGTTTTAAAACTTGTACATTTAAGACTCACATACACATAGTTTTCTATCTGAAACGTCCTTCCCATGCCAGTGTGAAGGAGAGGCAACAGACATTAAAACCATTTATTTTTTCTTCACAAAAAACCCAAAACAAAACCCATTTAACAAGTATAAAGAGCACTTGCAATTTTAAAAAGGAGAATTTTTTTACTTTCCATGAAAATAGCTGTTCTGAAATGATTCCCTATCCAAATCAAGTGCTTTCCTTTGTCACCCCTGTGCTTTTCAACATAAACCATATGACAGTGGAGGCATTCTAAACATTTTTAGCTGTATGTAAAGCACCATCAGTCACAGGTTTTAGGTGACGCCCAAGAACATGATTAAATAAAGATGCACACAAAAGCATCAAAATGAACTTTGTCTGCCAAGGGGAGCTGTTTTAAAGCAATCCATCTTGATGTCAGCAAATTGCTTACTAATGTGTTGACTTAAAAGTAAAATGAAAAGCCTGGAATTTACAGCGTATCAATGAATCAGCTGATAAGCTTTTACTAGTTTAATATCCTCTTAGCTTGCTGCCTGGAGCCACATCAAGTTAGCAACAGAATGTTTGCCATCTCTATGTGATAAAGGAAGTCAAATGGCTAAACAAACTCCTAGGCCATTATGTTGTTTGGTGAGATTTAAATTAAAAACTTTGGGTAAGAGTCACATGGTGAGGAAAGAGTGAGCAGTATACCATTTTATAAATAATATACCTCGTTTCAAGCAACAATAGTTGCCTTTTTAGCTGCACTGAAGATAATGGAATGCATTGGAAAAGATTTAATTGTAGCAATAAATTTTTTGGCTCAATTAGATGACATATACAAGCACTGTTTATAGCTAACAATCAAAGAGGTTCGTTATCTAACCCAGAGACATTCAGCAGCATTTCATTCTCTGTGGACGTTAGTGTTAAAAATTAGCATGGATTGCTTAGAAGAATAACTTTTCCTATTTCCTTTGATCTAAATTAGCAAGGTTTCTAATTGATTTATGTAATAAAGCAATTAAGTGATTCAAATGATCACTCACAGGATCTAACTTAGGAATTTATCACTCCCAAAACCTGACCCTTGCTATGTATGTTCTTATCAATGAATACTTTTTTTTAAACTTGGCAACTGAGTACTTTGTGTTGTCCTTTGAGAAATAAAGTTATATTTCAGAAACCTTGGGGGTCTGCCTACAATCTATGGACCAATGCATGTTTACTCAAAACTGAATCACTATTACAGTAAATCAATGGGTTTTGCTCACAAGACCAACTCAGAGTGATTTGCAGCTCAGAGGCTTTTAGAAAATAGCAATTAGACCAGTGTTTCTCAACCTTGACAATTTTAAGGCATGTGGACTTCAACTCCCAGAATTCCACAGCCAGCATTGCTGGCTGTGAAATTCTGGGAGTTGAAATCCACATGCCTTAAAATTGTCAAGGTTGAGAAACACTGAATTAGACTGTAACAATTAGAAATAAGATTTATCTAGAAAAGAATTGTTAGTGATTTCCCATTTTAGCAGGTGATGGGGGCTGAGGCTTGGCAGTGGTGTATTTTTAGAAGCAGTTCCATTCTTTTGGAATAGCTTCCCAATGGATATCCAAAGGGCTCTTATTATGACAGCCTTGTGGAAACAGAGCAAAACAGAACATTTCCAGAGGATGTGGATATTTGGGTCATGATACAATCTTGGTTGGGTTATAAATGAATTTTGGAATTTAGAATAGAGCTGGAAGGGACCTTGGAGGTCCTCTAGTCCAGCCCCCCGCTCAAGCAGGAGAACCTATACCATTTCAGACACGTGATTGTCTAGTCTCTTCTTAAAAACCTCCAGTGATGGAGCACCCACGATTTCTGAAGGCAAGCTGTTCCACTGGTTAATTGTCCTCACTGTTAGGAACTTTCTCTTTAATTCCCAGTTGCTTCTCTCTTTGATCAGTTTCCAACCACTGTTTCTTGTCCTGCCCTCTGGTGCTTTGGAGAATAACGTGACCCCCCCTCTTCTTTGTGGGAGCCCCTCAAATACTGGAATACTGCTATCATGTCACCCTTATTAGCATTCTACACTTATTCATTAGCTTACCTATCTTTTAACCGCATGCACTAATTGTATATTGTTTCTTGGGTATTTTATCTTATAAACTGATGAAACTGCAATGGTCTACCAAAGTAACAAATAAATAAGGCAAAATTAGAGACTGGAGTCTACTAACATGCAAACAACAATATCTCAGCCAGCTAGATTTAGGCTTGACCATTTTGAGAATAAATGAAGAAATTGGTTCAAAAAATGGAAAGGAGTCACATTATTAACAGAGATGGTCTCTGAGACTGAGAAAGTGTTTTTTCTGCAGACATGAAGAGAGGTAATAATAAACCTTATACACCTAACACTTTGACCTTTAAGCTTCCTTCTCAAATGTTCCCTTTTAAAGACTCCTATTCATTTCAGATTCTCTTCTCATGTGCGTTTTATGCATTTTTAAGATCTTACTCCAGGAGCTCAAGGGGGCTCCCATTGCATTTTCCCTTTATTTACAATAGCCTTGCACAGGAGATTGGGCTGGGCGGTGTGTGACTACCACAAGTCTTCCAGTGAGTTTCCACTGCAGAAGATGGACTTGAACCTGGATCTCCTTGATTGTAGTGCAACACTTTAACTGCTCTACCTCACTGGCTCTGATGCACATGTGGAACTGTATGGCGCTCAGTATGTGGAAGAAAATGAATTATAGGTAGTCCTTGACTTATAACCACAACTGAGGCCAGAAGTTCCATTGTTAAGCAAGATGATTGCTAAAAGAGCAATCTGGATGTTATCATTTTGCCATGGTTGTTAAGCAAATAGCTGCAGTTGTTAAATGAATCACAGTTGTTAAATGACTTTGGTTTCCCCCATTGACTTTGCTTATCAAAAGCTGGCTGGTGATCACATGACCCTGGGACACTGCAATTATCATAAGTACATGCCAGTTGCCAAAGGCACAAATTTTGATCCTGTGACCATGACTAGTGATCATCCATGCAAGGACCGGTTGTAAATCACTTTGAACAGTGATAACTTTGAACAGTCAATAAATGAATGGTTATAAGTTGATGACTACTTGTATATACTTTCCTTGGTATTTTCAAGGCTCCAAAAGCTTACGAGTCTAAGCATGGGGGTGGAGGAAGAACAACCTTTCTTCTGGAGATACATTCAACCACGCTGTTCATGGGACCAGCATTTTGGGGTAGGTCACTGCCAAACTGAAACATGCATGCTTAGATGTCTGGATCCAGTTGTGAACAAAGTCAGGCCATTTTGTTCTGAATGCAGATTTGATCAGCACTGAATTGTTTTGATTTTTAGCATTGTAATATATTTTGAAATGTGAAAATTTCCTACCTTTTCTTCGAAGAATTTTTTTCTTAATCTCACATCCTTGGGGGGTACTGTTTTCCTCAGATTTTTATACCACTTTCTAACAATATGTCCCCTCCAAAAAGCTTGAATTCTGTGGTATTAAAAAAAAAGAGTCTTTTACAAATCTGAATATAATACTTAAACTAGGATGCAAACAGTTTCAAAAGATGTTGAGACTCTACAAAGAGTACAGAGAAGAGCAACAAAGATGATTAGGGGACTGGAGGCTAAAACATATAAGGAACGGTTGCTGGAATTGGGCATGTCTAGTTTAACGAAGAGAAGGACGAGGGGGGACATGATAGCAGTGTTCCAATATCTCAGGGGCTGCCCCAAAGAAGACGGAGTCAAGCTATTCTCCAAAGCACCTGAAGGCAGGACAAGGAGCAACGGATGGAAACTAATCAAGGAGAGAAGCAACCTAGAACTAAGGAGAAACTTCCCGACAGTTAGAACAATTAATCAGTGGAACAACCTGCCTCCAGAAGCTGTGAATGCCCCAACACTGGAAATTTTTAAGAAGAGACTGGACAACCATTTGTCCGAAATGGTATAGGGTTTCCTGCCTGAGCCGGGGGTTGGACTAGATGACCTCCAAGGTCCCTTCCAACATTATTATCATTATTATTATTATTATTATTATTATTATTATTATTATTATTATTATTATTATTATTATTATTATTATTATTAAACTAAAAGATTATTTGCTTCCAGTTTTGGACAAGTATGAATGAAAGAAAAAGCTTGATCTCTTTCAGCAGAATTTGCCTCACAGAACTTGTTTTCAGTAAATTTGCTCTGCACAGTTGGTGCCGTATAATTTGGCCACTATCTAGCTAAATACAGGTAGTTCTTGACTTATTATAATTGAGTCCAAACTTCAATTGCTAAGCAAGACAGTTGAGTTTTGCCTCATTTTATGATCTGTCTTGCCACATTTGTTACGTGAATCACTGTAGTTATTAAGCTAGTTACATGGCTGCTAAGTGAATCTGGCTTTTCCATTGACTTTGCATATAGAAGAAGGTTGTAAAAGAATATCACATGACTCTGGGACACTGCAACCATCCTAAATACATGCCAGTTGCCAAGCATCTGAATTTTGATCATATGCCCACGGGAATCTGCAATGGTCATAAGTCACTTTTCATAAATGTGGAAAATGGTCAGAAGTCCCTTTTTTCAGTGTCATAACTATGAATGGTAATTAAATGGATCATTGTAAGTTGAGGACTACCTGAATGCTGGAAACATAGCAGGTTCTCTTGTAAATAGAATAGATGCTCCAATGCTGATGTATGTTTTATTTCATTTCAATAATTCCTTACACTAATTAAACATATCTACAGATCAATATTTCCTAGATACATGAAATCCTACTAGCGTGTTACTTGCTCTCGCCCAGTGATGGCGAACCTTTTAGAGATCGAGTGCCCAAACTGCAACCCAAAACCCACTTATGCATCGTCGGGTGCCGGGTGGGTGTGACCCATTGGGTGGGCGTGGCTGCGATGGTAACAGCAGACTGGGTGAGACTAAAACGTTCAATCAATCAATTCCAACTTTGCAAGATCTTTTTTTTCCCCGTGAGAAGTTGAAATTGACTGATTGATTGAACCTTTTTTTTTGTACACGGCAGCGGAGGCCTAAAGCGAAAAGGTTTTATAAAACCCAGGTGAAGGCTTAGGACTGGGGCGACAGCGCGTGTGCCCACAGAGAGAGCTCTGAGTGCCACCTCTGGCACCCGTGCCATAGGTTCGCCACCACTGCCCTAGCCCAAATTACATTAAAAAATAAGGTTTTTGTGGGTCACTAGTTTGAAAGTGGGTTCAGGTGTCAATTCAATTTTTTTGTTTAAAATAATGTTAGACTTGAAGTTGCATGGAACAATCAAATAATAGGGAGCTTAGAAAAAAATGAGGAAGAGGAAGAGGGAGGAGGAGGAGGAGGAGAAAGAAGAGTCAAGCTATTCTCCAAAGCACCTGAAGGCAGGACAAGAAGCAATGGATAGAAGCTTATCAAGAAGAGAAGCAACTTAGAACTAAGGAGAAATTTCCTGACAGTTAGAACAATTAATCAGTGGAATCACTTGCCTCCAGAAGTTGTGAATGCTCCAACCCTGGAGGTTTTTAAGATGAGATTGGACAACCATTTGTCTAAAATGGTCTAGGGCAGACATGTCAAAGCCGCGACGTCATGTGACATGGTGCGACGCATCAGAGGTTTTTTTCCCATTGCCAGCAATGGGGTGGGTGTGGTTTCCTGATGACGCGTCTGGCCCGTGGGCTGACACCCCTAGTCTAGGGTCTCCTGCCTGAGTAGGGTTGAACTAGAAGACCTCCAAGGCCCCTTCCAACACTGTTATTCTGTTATTTTGTTAAATAACAGGAGTGTTGACTTGGCAGAAGGAGGCCTTGCATTTCTTCACCTGATCAGAAAAAAATGGCTGGAACGATTATATGAGATCCTCCAAGCTGCAGTGGAGGGAAAGCAGTGAATTTTAAACATCGTATTTCGTTCTTTTAAAAGGATGCATTCAAAATGTGTGCAGAATGATATAGTGATGTGCTGCTTGTTTTGTGTTATCACATGACCAGGAGCAGTTAAGCACTGCTAACAGAGCAAAGCTTCATAATCCACATACAACTTGTTAATATAGGGGAAAGAAACCTAATTTCCAGCAATTAAATAGTTTAAGATTCCCTCCCATAGACCGGTACGCTCCCACAGAGTGGGTCTCCTCAGGGTGCCGTCGGCCAAGCAATGTCGGCTGGCGACCCCCAGGGGGAGGGCCTTCTCTGTGGGTGCCCCCACCCTCTGGAACGAACTGCCCCCCGAGATCCGGATGATTCCGGATCTCCTTACTTTCCGCCGCGCCCTCAAGACATGGCTTTTCCAGCAAGCGGGCCTGG